TCTTCATACTTCCCACTGCCAAGATTTTGTATTGCCATCAGGTGCCAAATAAATGTTGATACTTAACTACTGATTTGTGCCTGGTGTCTATTTTTGTAGATGCTCAATCTTCAAAAGCTTGCGTATGTAATTTCCTTATCCCTTTACACTGCATCATTTTTTTCTTCTCATAAGTCATGCCTACATCTGAAATCCCTCGTATTTTGCTACCCCTATCTTTAAGTATGATTAGATCTGGCCCTGTCTTTGTTAGCATAACCCTAGGAACCCATGTTCAGATGAGATAGAGAAACAAGTAGTGGTTCTGGCTTCCTAAGTTATGGGAGAAGGCGTTTCCTCATTCTCCTCCCCAGAAAGCCCAGTAAAGCTCAGAGACTTTAAGCTATCAAAAAATAAAGAAATGCAGTATTGAGGACATTTCCTCTAAGACCACATAATGTAAGATCTCATAAATAGCAGGTAGAGCTAGAAAGAAGAGGTAGAAGTGGGAGGATACTGGGATTTCATTTTTCTTTCGGCCCAAATTAGATAAGAGTTTTCAAAGTAGACAAAATTTTACCAAATTCTACGTTGGCCATGAAGAGCTATAACCAGTGAGTACTTCGGGTGCATGCTTAGAGAAGCAGGAAATTCTGTTGGAGTGTTGGAACGTAAAGAGCTGTGAAAAGCTGCTAAGGAATTGACAGGTGGCTGTCAACCAGAAGAGCTGAAGCATGTCTCTAGATAGGGGAGTGCAGGTAGGGAGAACATTGGGAGCAAAGGAGCATAGGAACTGGAGAGACTGGTCAGGGTACTACAGAGAAACAACAGTAGCTCAAGTAAAGGTGGATATAAAATTCGAGAAGTTACATGGATATAGGTAGCCATTTTCAAGGTAGCAAAGATACAGGAGGTATGATATGTTGAATTAAAGAACAGTGCTGGCTTGAGCTGAAGCCCATGTCCTTCCCACCTGCCCTTGAATAAGAGTGTCAGGTTAAATTTCACAGCTCTCCTCCCTTCCCCCACTTACCTCTGCCAGGGGATTCTCTTCTAAAATTATCCCCCTCCCTGAGGTGGGGGCCAGTCCTCTAATGCCCTTCCCCATCCTGTTTTCTCAAACAGGAAAGGGAAACAGGAAGAAATGAAAGTGCCTTTCACCAGGGAGAACAGAGCTGTAAGAAGGGGATGGAGTGTCTTAAAGAGAAGGAAGACACACAGCTACAGCTGCTGGAGTGTTGCAGGCCCTGAGCTGGGAGCCTTCTATTCCATCTTCCCTGGAGTCCCATAAGGAAGTCACTTCCCCCTGTTTTTCCCCAGAAGAGACAAAGAGGCTCAGAAACTTTGATCAATCAAAAAAGAAAGAAAAGCAGTATGAGGGCATGTCTTCTGAGACCACATAGGTCTGATTTTATGATAGAGCTGCTTTTAATGATGCTGAGACACTGGCTAAAGTAGCTAACAGTCTGTTTGCCCTTACCTAAAAGTAAGGAAAGGGTTTGTGTCTTTAAAAGTCATTGTAATGGTTAAAGTGATGATGCCAGGAAAATACTTTGTTCAAAAAGAAAGAAACAAGGTGTGACCCCACTTTGAGAGTGCTTCGTTTATCTGTAATGAACTGCCTGTTTCATGCATAGACACAGTGATATTTGTTTGGCTGAGAATAAAGCTCAGTGATAGGAAGCTTGACTAGCATGCATGAGGCCCTGGCTTTAGTCCCCAGTACCACATAGTTACGGCCATATTTATTGCCCTGTGCTCTGGGTAGACCAAACTAGCAGAGATAGTAGTTGGGAAAAACGAGCACAAGCTGAAAAGAAAATCAGTTCTTAAAATTTGGGGGTAATGATACTAAAAAGATAATCTCATATGTAAGTACCTGTATCCCCATCTTGTATGATATGGCTTTTTAGTATCATGGAATGTAGGAGACAATATAAAACTTACAAAGAATGCACATACACTCTTGCTTATGAATTTGCTTCCAAGTTTAAGACTTGTTGGACTACCCACAGCCCATCTCGGGGCCCTCCAAATCAGAACCTAAGCATTGAGCCCAGTGAGATGCTGGAATAAGGCATGGGCATGGTTAACATTTAGTGCTCTTGTGAAGCAATAGCCCATGGCGTTGAAACTACTTTTAATTCTGAACACAAGGTATTTAACACTTAAATCCTCCAGTCCAATGCTAGTAGCCCGTATACATTGATGCTCTTGCTTTGAGAATCAAGGATGTTACATAGTTGCAGTTGGTCCCAGCTTGGCAGGGTATGAGCATATGCAGGCCTTGCCAGTCTCCACTTTCAAATCTCAGTCAATGACCACACTGCTCCATTTCAGGGTACTAATGTGCTCAGGAATACTTTGGAAGCAGCAATCACATCTGATATTTGTTTCTGAATGTTTCCTAAGAAAACGCTTACCTTCTTCCCCAAATGGGAAAAATCTGTCTCTGAAGCCCTCCAAAAATATAATCTTCGTTCTTTATTAGGAATCCCTTGATCCCTGTTTTCTGTTGTCTTCATCTGACCTTTACTCTATCTCCTGTCCCACGTTTATATTCTTCACGGGTGGATTGTAAACCTTGCAGTCACAGGGCTGATTCTAGAAAGGGTGTTTTCACTATTTTCAGCTTTCCTGGTATATAATTGACATAATGTGGTATATAAAGTGAAAGTATACAACCTGATGTACAAGGCATGTATTTATGCCTTGTGAAATGATCCCAGGATCCAGATTCTCAGCCTCACATTACCTATGTGTATGTGTGGTGACACTTGAAACCTACACTTAGCAGATGGCAGGTACACGTTACAGTATTGTTAACTGTAGCCACCATGTACATTAGATCTCTAAAACTCAGATCTGAATAACTGAAGTGTGCCCATGACCAGCATCTTCCCACTCCAAAGCCCACTCCCATCTCAGCTCATAGCCTTTGACTTTGTATGTGTTCCACTGCTATAGATTCTGCATATAAACAGGATGTACAATATTTGAATATGTCTGACCTCTTAGCATTGCCTAAAAGAAAGTATGTTTTTTGCTGCTGAGTCATGTGTGTATACTTCCTTTATGCCTTCACCTCTTGTCAGCCATGGAGGTGGTTTTGTATCCTGGCTGCTGCAGATATGCCACAGTGGACAAAAGAACACAGATACCTGAGAGGTGGTGGCTTATTTCCCTCTCTGCACAAACATAAGTAGGATTGCTGTATCTAGTAGCTGTTTCTAACTTACTGTTTTCCATAAGGACCATGACAATTTCTCCCAGTTAGTACCTAAGGGTTCCCTTTTCTCTGCATCCTTACCAGCTTGCCAAGCTTGTCCTTGGTGTCACTCATCATAACAGGTGTGAGGCGTTGTCTCACTGTCGTTTTGATGTATATTTCCCTCTGATAAGTGATATTCAACACCTAGAAAAGGCGCTGTTGGGACAAGACAACTCAGCATGTAAGGGCACTTGGAACCTGATGACCTGAGTTCAAGCCCCAGAATCCACATGGTAGGAGGAGAGAATGAATTCCCAGAAGTTGTCCTCTGACCCTCACACATGTGCCAAAGCACATGTGTACCCACACATGGACACACACACACACACACACACACACACACACACACACTAAATGAATTTTTTTAAAGGGGCCAGAGAGATGGCTCAGTGCTTAAAAGAACTTACTGCCTTGTAGAGGATCCACCAGCACCCATGTCAGGCCACTCACACTTGATAAAACTCCAGCTGCAGATGTGACACAGTCTTACTCATGTGTACACATACATACAAGACGTAATTAAAAATAATAACAATAAAAATTAAATTTTTTAACTTTGAAAGAAAAGGCACTTTTAATGGTATCTATTTTCTCACTTACTTTGAGCATCTCATTAGCTTAGCTCAGAATCAAAGTTGCAGACCAGATACTCAGTGTCCATACCTTTCAGTCCCCGAACTTAGACTTCTAAGAGAGAACTCTCTTGATCCTAAAATTCAGTTTGCCTCTGTTTCTTCTTCATAGGGAAAGAATGTCTGAGAAAAAGAAAAACTGATGGGAAAAACTCAGTGCCTGATGGAGTACTTTGTCCTTTATCAAATTTAATTTATTGACTAGAAAAGAGGTTACTTCTCCATCTTCTCTTGTTTATTGAGTTTCTGTGATCACCATCCCTATGACTCTGGCCTACTTCCTCTTCTCACCTGTTATCTAACCTATCCTGCTAGAGCTGTCATGAGCATCACTGTCCAGTTCAGAGCTCAGTCCCTCCCTGTTGATCTGAAGTGGGGGTGGGGCTAACACATATGTATGGGAAATGAAAGACATTGCAGAACCCAAGGCTACTACCCCTGCTTCCCACAACATTCCACACCCAGTGAGTGATAAGAGTGGGATCAAGAGGAAGACGGAGAGCTGAAGGGGAAATCTGAGAATGGGATGTATGTGGAGAGCTGGCCACAGAAAAGTTCAGTGTCCAGATGAAGACTGAAGCCTTAAGAGATACTGAGCTGAGACCATCCCAGCAAGGAGAGATGGCAGAGAGGCATCAGCTACTCTCCCAGGTGAGTTGACAGATGTTACCAGAAATTTGAGTGGCTTCATTGAGCACTCTCTCTCTCCTTACTTTCCAAGAGGTCTTCAGGGGAGGCTCAGTTGTACATGCAGCCTGAAAATTTCACTAGGAAAATTTTCGTGCTGGTCCTAATGATATTTATAAAGGCACTAGTAACCTGGAGCTATGAGCTGCTGGCTGGCAGAGGGAATCCCCTGTTGGACTGTCCCACAGGTTCTCATCCTAACCCCCACCCCCACACTGCACTCACACCTGCTTCGACCCCAGAAGGATCAGATGTGGCAGTGGTGTGTGGGGGGTGGTCATGTGATGGAGAGAGACAGCTATAAATAGCTGGAGGTGGGCATGTTGCCCCAGACGCCTTGGGGACAGGCAAAAGCAGAGGCTTAAGGAGTTTACTGGGGGAGACTGGGAGCAAGCAGGCCAAGCCCTGGCTGGGGCTTTGGGGGAGGACACATGGAGCGGACCCAGTCCCAGCGGCATGGAGGTGAACAAAGCTGGTGGGGTAGTGCCCCCCAGTACCAGTACATGCCCTTTGAACATTGTACCAGCTATGGACTGCCCTCAGAGAATGGGGGCCTTCAGCACCGACCCCGAAAGGACGCAGGTCCTAGGCACAATGCCCACCCAACACAGGTAAAGTCCTGGGGAGGGGGGAAGCAGGAGACAGGTGTCTGTGGGGCCAAGGATTAGTAAACATTGGTTGTTAGTTAGAAGAGAGAACAGTATTTATTTTGAAAACTAAATGGTAAGTATATTCAAAATATGAAAACCTTTTAAAGATCTGAGCTTAGTGTGTTTACTTAAGAAATGCATGCTCTTTCACATAGCCTTTACTAACAGAATATTCGAACCACATGGGGAACCAGCAGAGCCACACTTAAATTAAGAGTGCATGCTTACATAACCACAGTGGTTCTCATAGGCGCTGCAAATACCATGAGGATCACCCCCACCCTCACCCACATGAAGGTAGCATGGGCTTTCTCCACACAGTGCACTGTCGAATGCATGCATACACAAACACACACTCCACAAAAGACAGAAGAAAAGCATGGGGACAAGCAGGGGAAACAGTGAATGATTTATCAATGATCAATGACCAGTACTGAAATGAGCTCAGAAGTGGCATTCAGTTTTTAAGGGCTTGGAGGTAGCACCCTGGTAGAGCATTGCCTAGCTTGTATGAGTCCCTGGGGTCTTGGTTTTATTATTATTATTATTATTATTATTACTTTTAGGGTGGGGGAGTTTTAATAATTGTTAAAAGGATCCAGCAAAATGATTCAGTAAATAAAGGTGCTTGCTTCCACACCTGACAGCTTGAGTTCAATCCCTGGGACCCACATGGTAGAAGGAAAAAATCTGTTCCTACAGATTGTTCTCTGACCTACACACACACGCACACACACACACACACAATTAGTTAATTATAAAACAAAGCTTTATACTTGGGAAAGTACAGAGCTATTTCCAAAGGCAATTGCCCTCCAGAGATTGGGGACCAGTGATATATGGACAGCTAGGAAAAGAGAAATGGGGATGGACACAAGACAGGGAAGGTGAAATTTCCTTGGGAAATTTATTATCTACTATGAACCCTAATCCTATTAACTCTTAACTGCAAAGAATGCAGAATGGAACAGAATGGAAGGTGTCTGAGAGAAAGAGACTTTAGAAGAGTTTTTCTGACAGGGCTATGGTTCCTGGAGTCAGCCTGCGAACGTGGAGGTGGGCTGAGTGGGTGGTGTCACCACAAGGGTCATGAGAATCTGGTCTCTAAGCCGTTGCTAAGGGTAGGTATACAAGGAGGAGGGAGGTGTGTTGAGCAGGAATTGAATGTCAGAGCCAGCTAATTCTCACCCCAATGCTGGTCATTTCTAGAGACGACAGGCTGACCATTTGAGCAAAGGTGCAGTTAGAGCATTTGTAGTTTGGTTTGTTTTTTGTTTCTTGTTTTTGTTTGTTTTTCTTTCCTTTTTCTTTTTCTGTTTGGTTGGTTTGGTTTTTCAAGATAGGCCTTCTCTGGGCTCCCCTGTATAGGCTTCCTGTCCTGAAACTTGCTCTGTAGATCAGGTTTCCCTCGAACTCACAGAGATCCACCTGCCTCTGCCTCCTGACTGCCTGGAATAATGGTGTGCACCACCACCTTCCAGCTAATTAGAGCACTTTCTGGTGACAGGACACTTGCTAAAGATCAGCAAGTTAGATTGAGAGTAGAGTTCCAACCTGCCCTAAAAGCAAGAAAAAATGTAACGTTTTCTTTGTCCAATGTTTGTGAGGGAAAATACAATACACAAAAAGTAGACTGAGCTCCCAGGATACAACAGTCATTAACATTTGTCCAGATGGTTCTGTCCCCAATTCCCACTTCAGTCCTGCACATACTAGAAGACTCTTAACACTTTGTAGACATTTCATCACATATACATTTGGGTTTTGGTTTCTTCCTCCCCTCTTCTAAGCTTGTCATAGTGTAGTAGTTATCCTGGACCAGGAGGACACATATGGCTCTAGTACAGTGTTTTCCCAGACTGAGTGTTGGAAGGGAGCACACCATTTCCTCATTTCTCCCAGACTGCAACTCAGAGTACTGAGGCAACCCAAATAGTTCATCTTCAAGGGAATTATTTTCTGGCTTGTGTTTGTTTTTGAGATAGGATCTTACTATGTATCCCTGGCTGGCCTGGAACTCTCTCTGTAAACCATATTGGCTTCAAACTCACAGAGATCTGCCAGTCCCTTCCTCCTGAGTGCTGAGAATAAAGGTGTATACCACCATATACAACTGAGAGTATTTTATGTCTCTGGGTCACTGATGGAGTCTGAAGAAAAATGCTTTCCTCAGTCACTAACCTCATGAGTGGAATAATTAGTATGTGCCTGCTCAGGACCGAAACATCAAACTGCTGCTCATATTGTGAAATAAGATCTCTTCTAGCAAGGCTCTCCCAGAATCAGCCACATGACCTGGCCTGACCCTAGCTGCAGAGGATGAGTTAGTGTAGGGTGTGTAGGGCTACCACAAAGTGATTAGCATAATGAACTAATACACCCTTCACAATACAAATGCTAGAATGGAGACAGGTCTGCCTTCTCCAGTTGTTGGAACCACCCAGTTAGCTCACTTTGGGAAGTAGATTAAACTGTCTTCTTGAGCCCAGTTCCTATTTGTGTCTCTACAAGCTCTGAAATGTGAGAGGGATAAGCTTTGTACAACTTTAATAAGGAAGCTAAGTGTCTCAAGGCAGACAGACATACTAAAGCAAAATGCTAGCAGGCAGTATTCAGAGCTGTAAATATATAAAGTCAATTGCTAGCTAAGTTAGTATGGCCTTTGTCTAAGTTGGGGTCCTGAGCTGGTGAGTCAATGCCAAGCAAATATGGAGACATGCAGAACACAAAAGTAATATGTGAAATGCCTGCCTGGTACAGAAGAATAATTTCTGAACAGTTCTTAGTATCTTCAAGTAGAAGCTAACTTCTTGGTAAAAGCTACTGTGGACCAAGACATGTCTGGATTCGGGGAAATGGTGAAACAGAAGCAGGGATGAAAGATCAATGGAAAATAGAAATGTGTGAATGGACAGTAGAGAAGTAAGAGAAGGGATGACCATGAAGTACCCTGTATGCAACTTTTAATGTCCAAGATTTGAAACAGCTTCCCTTTTCTCTGTAACTAAGTCTACATAATGCCTTCTGTATTCTTTTTTGGCTCTTCAACAAGATAGACACTGACCATTCATTATCTATACAGATATATGGCCATCACAGAGAACAATATTCATATAAGGAACAGGACAAGGGCATGCCCAAGAAGATGGGCTCCAGTTCTACCATGGACAACTTGGATGAGGACCACTATTCTAAATGTCAAGGTGATGGGGACTGAGAAATAAAGGAATCTGGAATAGGAGGTACAGGGATTAGGAGAATAACTTGTATGCCCCATTACACATCTCCCAACAAGTGTGCATGCATACACACACACACACACACACACACACACACACACACCACTAAAGCCCTCTTCTGCATAGGGAAATGAAGTGAAAGACACCTCTCCTCCACCTCCTTAATACTTTGCCTTCCTTCTTTCCCAACCAGAAGAAATGAGAAGTCTACATAGAAATTCATGTGTTCATGAAGAGTAGGGCTGTGCTTTCTGGAGGGACAGGGACAGCAACTGGCAGAAACATAAAGAGATGTTCAATGACTAATGTACCACCTCCCCACCTCTACTCCTCAACCTGCTCCCGAAGAACTGACTAGAGCACTCCTTTCTTCCTTGTTTACCCTAACCTCTTCCTAGATTGTATCCACCGCTTGGAACATGTGGTCAGAAGGAAGCTTGGGGAAGACTGGATCTTTCTTGTGCTCCTGGGCCTTCTGATGGCTCTTGTCAGCTGGTGCATGGACTATGTTAGTGCCAAGAGCCTTCAGGGTAGGTTCTCCCTGCACTGTTGCCCTCTATCTTCTCTGTATGGAAACTATTTCTGAGTTCTTGCTTAGAGTTGACCAGGTGTGTTTGGGCTGAACATGTTGCATGAGTGGTCCAGATAAAACTTACTGAGAAACAGATCACCAACCATGCCTTTCCTGACAGCTGCCACCCAAACTCTGAATGCCCCTCTAATAGGATGGCCAATTTGTGCAGCTTTCCCAGTGTTCCTGTCCATCTCATTACTGTGATTGCCAAGTGTCCAGAGCCCCTTCTGTTGTCAGTGGCCACCCTAGGGCCTGCAGCTAGGTGCTACAGTGTCTTACTCAACTGTGACTTGTACTGCAGCCACCAGCTACCTCTGCCAGAGGGTACTTGGACAGATAGCCACTGCCCTCAGAGTTCTTCTGTGTACAGTGAAAGGAATACCCTGGGGCCAGGCACATAAGATGCTCTCTTGCATGAGAGCAAGCTGGCACGCTGTGTGGTGGTACTGAGACACTGTCACTGTCAACATTTCCTCAGCTCTAACTGACCCACGGTCTTTTTCCTGCAGCCTACAAGTGGACCTATGCCCAGATGCAGCCCAGCCTTCCTCTGCAGTACTTGGCTTGGGTCACATTCCCACTTATCCTCATCCTCTTCAGTGCCCTCTTTTGCCAGCTCATCTCTCCCCAGGCTGTGGGTGAGTGAGTATTTTCTATAGGACAAGACAGTCTGGTTTTTTTACAGACCTCCAACTCTGAACTCACTCCATCCTCCAGACCCCTTTGAGGCCTCAACATGGTTACCTCCTTCCTCCTTTCTAATTTCCTCTTTCGTTTAAACTCCAGCGTGTGCCTGTACATTCATTATCCTTTTTAAACCTCTTTAGGCTCTGGAATCCCTGAGATGAAGACAATTCTTCGTGGTGTTGTCTTAAAGGAATACCTTACAATCAAGGCCTTTGTAGCCAAGGTGGTGGCCTTGACTGCTGGACTGGGCAGTGGCATCCCTGTGGGGAAAGAGGTAGGTTTGCATAGCTGAAGGAAGAGCCAGCAAAGCTGACTGGAGTGAGGGCCAAAGGGCAGTAACAAGGGCAGCCTTGGGAATTCCTTACCCTGGCGTTGATGACTCAACTGTTAAAGCTGGAGAAACCTTACAGCCCTCAACTGGGAATAAGTAAGGTTTGGGGCTAGAAAGCTCTGCTGGGAAGAGGAGTGTTGCTCTGCCCTGTGAGATGCTAGTATTATCCTCAACTTCTAACTACAGGTGAAAGTAGCAGGCCCCAGGCCGGAGTTACAAAACCAGAATTCTCTAGAAAATGTCTGCCTTCTCCATATCTGGACCAGTCTTTTTGTTTTGTTTATTATTCAGTTATTTATTATTTTTTAAATTTTATTTATTATTATGTATACAGTGGTCTGCCTGCATGTACACATGAATGCCAGAAGAGGGCACCAGATCTCATTATAGATGGTTATGAACCACCATGTGGTTGCTGGGAATTGAACTCAGGATCTCTGGAAGAGCAGTCAATGCTCTTAACCTCTGATCCATCTCTGAGCCCTGTTATTTATTTTTATCTTGTGTTTGGTTGTTTGCTTGTTTGAAATAGTCTTATTCTCTAGTTCAGGCTCCCATGGAATTTATATGTAGCCCAGGCTACCTCAAAATCAGCACAGTCCTTGGATTTCGCCCTTATTTTGGCATGAGAAAACTGAGTCCTAGAGTGACACTTGTTTTTTCAAGATGACAGCTAGGCTCCTTCAGCTTCATCCCTGGGTGTACACTTGTCCCCCACGTCACCATTCTGCACATTAGCCACAGTATCTTTCAAAGCAGAATTGGACACATTTGACCTCTAGTCAAGAATGTCCTGAGAGCTTTCCATTTTACTTAGTGTAAGATCTGCACTCTCCCAACAGCCAGCCAGCCCTACAGCCTGCCTGCTTCCCTATGCTTGGATGACAAAGCTTTTCCCCATCTTTCTAACATGCCTACTATGCTACCCACTCAGGACCCCTGAAGTTTCTGTTCCCTCTGCCTAGAACACTCTCCCTCTGACACCCATGAGGCTCACTCATGTAATTATTACTCAAGTCACTTAATAGGGTGGTGACTAGCCAGGAAAGGCCACCTTCTCTAAATCCCTATCCCCACCCCTACTCTTTTGCCTTACTTCTGTTCATTTGCTTCCTAGGCCTTGGCATTATCTGATAACACACTGACTTATCTCTTCTTTCCTGGGATGAGGCTCCCTTAGGGCAGTAGTTTTATCTGGCTTCTCCATTTCTTTCAACTATCCCAGGGACTCAAGCAGGAAACTTTGGTTCAATAAGTCTGCACACTTCTCCTCCAACCCTGAGCCCTCTCTCCCATTTTCTTCCAGGGTCCCTTTGTTCACATTGCCAGCATTTGTGCTGCTGTCCTCAGCAAGTTTATGTCCGTGTTCTGTGGTGTCTATGAGGTAAGGCTGAGGCAGTACAGCACACCAGGGGCCAAATGATGGAAGGAAGCCCTCATGTGCGCAGCAGAGCGGGGGAAGGGTGCGAGCTCTGGGCTGGCCTTGGTGCTGAAGGTGGCATCTCACTAACCCATGCTTTAGTTCTTCATGTCCCTGCCTGCTGATCCTAGCCATATCATCCCCTATGTCCAGCTTCTGTCTGTCTTCCTAGTGTACAGCCCTTTCTGATTGATCTGTGTCCATCTGTGGTGAGCTGAGCCACACCTGCCCCATGTTTCCTTCCTACCAGTTCCTTTCCATGTTCCCTCCTGTGCTGCCCCCCCAGTCCTTTGTAGTTCCTGACACCCCTCCACTCTGGTTTACATACTGCCTGTCTGTGTCTGCCACCTGCCTTGTCCTACGTGCTTCTCTGTTGCAGACCGTGCCTGGGCAGCTTGATCTCCTGGTGCCAGCCTGTGCAGTGGGCGTGGGATGCTGCTTTGCAGCCCCTGTTGGAGGCAAGTTTCACTTCCTCCCTACCTGGGTCGCCTGAGCCAGACTTGGAGGGGTGGGTGGGTGTCTGCTGTAGCTTGGGGTAGTGGGCCATGCTCACTGGAGGGACTGATGGGTGGGCAACCAGGGAGTGACTGGATTGCAGCCCCTGGGCTCCAGGGACCCGTGTTTCTGCCAAAGAGCTGAGTAGTCTTTTGACATGGGCTGCTCTCTCCTGCAGGCTTTCCTACTACTTTCCTGTTGGGATGAAGTCCTTGCTGCCTCTTGCTACTTCTCCTAAGCCCTTCTTTGTTTGGTCATTATTTGTTCATTTGCCTGACATTTTTTTTACTTAGCATTTTCTCTGGTTTGTTTTCCATTGTTGGCCTTGAGCTTATGAGGTCACTTCCTGATTGCCAAACTCATTGAGTTTCCCCTGGCCTGGGAATCACAGGGGTGATGGGACCATGTTCATTCCTGTGATGCAGGCCTCTCATTCTGTTTTGTTTCCTATCCCTGCTTACTTTCTTCCCATCTTTCTGCCCCTGCCCTTCTCTTCCTATCTGTCTGTTTGTCTGTCTCTCCCTAGTAGCAGCCATACTATTACACTGACATCCTGACAGTGGGCTGTGCTGTGGGGGTCGGCTGCTGTTTTGGAACACCACTTGGAGGCAAGTCTGCCCCATCCCTAGTGCTTAGACCCATTTGCCTGGTCTTGTTCACCAACTAGTTTTTGCTTCGCCAAGTGCTACAATTAACAATTTCCAATATAACAAAAACTGCCACTCCTATGTAACACATGCTTTGTATCTTGTTCTGACCATTTTATATGCATTCCCCCCTAATGCTGTGAGTGCAGTTTGATAGAAATACATTATAGAAAGATCAGTGAGCAGGAGCATGTTGGCAGCATGTGCAGAGCCAGATATTAGAACCACAGCAGCTCTCCTGGTCCCTACTTATGCTAAAGCCTATTTGCATCACTAATACTTCTGGTTTACACATACTGTCCTGTAACAGGAGATTCTGTGTACTTCTTTTGTAAAGGAAAACGTACTGTCTGTTTTATTAAAGACACTGGGGTTTCAGTAGACTGTGTATATGTTAATAAGGTACTTTAAAATGGGAAGTACTTTAGAATGGGATGAACTTAGAATGGGAGCTTTAAAAAAAAGTTGTTTCTTCTCTGGGTGTCATGGCACACGCCTGTAATCCTAGTACTTGGGGAGGCAGAGGCAGGCAGATCTCTGTGAGTTCGAGGCCAGCCTGGTCTACACATAAAGTCTAGGACATCCAAAGCTACACAGAAAAACCCTATCTCAAAAACTAAACCCAAAGACAAAAAAAAAAAAAAAAAAAAAAAAGTTGTTTCTTGATATGCCAGGAATTTACAAGTGCGTTTAGTGTTTTCTATCCATATAAGGAAAATAGTGATATTATCACAGGTTAATAATGACAGGACATGGTCACAAAAGGCAGGCTTGTTTTTTCCCTTACCAAAGGTGAGTTGTAGCTATGTTAACAGAGCAGGGATTGCATGGCTCATTCATTGAAATCACTGATGATGAAATTCCACATTGAAAACTGAAGAAATACATTTATAAGAAGGACATGTACTTCTTAAACAACCAGCTGCTAGAAGCCCCTTTGCAATGGTGAAACTACTTTAGTCCTTTCATAGAGGTATATAAAATAGTCCTTTTAGGTATCTAAAATGGCTCAACTCAGAAATGATGTATGGATGAGAGTCCAAAATTAATGAAAGCATATCCCATACATGGTAGAATCACGTGACATAAGGGCATCCAGGAAGCGTGTACACCACTGGCATCCCATTTACACTTCTTTCATCAGCTCTAGTCAGTAAAGTCATTAGCCCCTATCAGTGAACAGCAGTGCTTTTAAGTTTCTGCATGTTAGACCTTCAGCCCTGTATTTACACACACTGCCTTTGTTTACCCCATAGACTTCCAAATAAAGAAAAAAAATTGTGGTTGTTTTAGTTCTGTTAGAAATAGTTTAAAGTGAAGAGAACCTGCATTCTCTTCCTGAGACTGCAGCTTATGAGGTTCTTTCTGGTTGTGTGACAAGAATGGGAACTTCACCTTAGGAAAGTTACAGTAGTATATTGGCTCTTGACCCAAAAAATTGCTAAGTACTTTCAAGTGAAGTGAAGGAGTTGTGCTCAGGCTGTTAGGATTATGCAGCCAATGACAAACCTATCTGCAGGTGGCAGTACTTGATTCGGTTTTATGAATATAGAATAACTGAAAGAAAAAAAAATAATGTTGAGATCTTCTCCTCACAACACAGGCAACTCCTAACTCCTTATATTGACCAAAGCAATATAATTCAGCATCCTCCTGAAACAACAAAAGCCCTTTTGCTGCCACTGTGTGCCAGGTAGTGGGGTTGGTCGTTCACTCTTAAGGGCTCAGGGAGACAGGCACACAGATCATCACAAGGCAGTTAAGTGACCATATGGCATTTCTAGGCAAAGTGCAATGAACCTTCACGGCAGCCTGGGGGAGCCTGTGAAGCTGTGTGAAAGAGACAGTGTTTGCCATGGGTATGATTATTAAGTAGAGCCTGCAAGGAGGAAGGGAAACCCTGAACAGAATGGACACTATCCAAAGTCAATATCTGCTGTTACAGTAATAAGTGGCACTAGGGAGAGTGGAAAAGTATAATAGGAAGTGAGTCAGAACAGATAAATGGAGCTGGATAATGAAGGTGTACAGAAGTCATTCAAAATAAAACAGGTCTTATTCTCTAGGGTAGGATTTGCCCAAATATGTTTTTCAGAGTACAGTTATTCCTGGTGTTAATAGGTGTAATGTGTGAAAACCCACTGCAAGTTCCAGTTGGTTGAAAATGCAAGATTAATAGGAATAAATGAGTAGTTAAAAACAAGTGAACTGGAAAGTTATCAGAACACCTGAGGTGTTAGAATGCATTGTACATACCCAGGTAGCTGCAAACAGCGTTTCCTACCAAGCCCTCTTTGCAGAAACAATGCCATAGAACTTGTGTCATCTCATGGGACTGACTTTGTGAGGAATTGTCATGGTGAAGTGAAACCATGGAAGGATTTAAAACAAGGAAGTGACATGGTTAGTTCAGCCTGTCTATCCAATCCCTTTGGCACATGTGTGCAAGATAGAATTGGCTGTGGATTAACAGGATTGATCTAAGATTAACAAGGAGACTATTGTCATCATCCTGATTCTACATGATGACAGACAGAACTGGGCAGCAAAGGAGATAGAGGAGGGGCTGAGAAACTTGAGTGCTATCAAGTCAAATTGATGCTGCCTGGTAGCTGATTATATGTGAAGATGGGACAGAGTTCTGTGCAAACATCCAGGCTCACAACACTGGCAATGCAGTAAATAGTGATATCAGTAACCATGGGAGAGTACGTGGGTCTGGAAGGGAGTGAACTAATTTTACTTGAGGATATTGAGTTTGAAGTTTCTACGGCATGGCTAAATAATATACAGCAGGCATCTAGGTTGATGAGTCTACAGTCCAGGAACTAAGCTGAATCTAATCTGTATCCATGGTTGATGCCACAGCATAAGTGAAACTGAGAAAGAAATTATTTCTGAGAGTAGCAGGAGATGGGAACTAAGAGCAATGCCTTCATTGGACAAAAGTGTGGTGTGGCAACTAGAAGACAAATAGAGAAGGAACCCAATGTGGAAGAAGAGAACAGTGTTCCAGACCTGGGACACCAGAGTTTCTAACAGCTCATGTTTTTAAAGCTCTGTTTTCTTTTAGCAGCACAGTTGATGTTTGTCACAGACTATTATGAAAGTTAGCTCTCACTCTCGATCACACTGTCACAGACCTGCTAAGAAAAGTCTCCCAGGTCTACATCATGGAGGAAAATTGGTAGTAACGTGTAAGTTGGATAATTGCACCCAGGCAGAGCAAAGCTGATTTACCTTTTATTATGGCAAAGCAAAGGCGAGAGACCTACTCCACCTGATTCCCACTGTGGACTTCTGCCCCTGGAATTTAAAGAGCAGGGCAGGAAGAGTGGCTGGCGTAGCTCTGCATCACTCGGCTCCATTCTCTGAAATTCTCTCTCTGTGTTCTTTTCTCCTCCATATCCTCTCCTCTCCTGTCCATCCCAGTATAGCCATTGAATCCAAAAGTGGGTGCTCACCACCTCACCAGGACTTAGTTTCCAAGGAATTTCCAATCCCAGGAAAACTCAGCAGTGTGAACAAATAGTCTCATCTGAAAGTGGAAAATACAATTGTTCAAACTACTGAGAGAGTGGGATGAGAAATGGATGATCTCTTCTTGACAAGAAGATTGGTGTTGGCTTTCCAGGGAAGGAGATACCAGGGAAATCCTCTGCAAAAACAGCTTTGGCTCCAGGAGAAAGTAGCTTCAAGCCATCTCCTTGGTACATAGACTCAACGTGACTATCACTGTCCTCTGCAAAAGAGATGGTGGAGATCATGAGTTTTTGAATACTGGATAGGGAGAAGAGAATTCCTATTGTGTGAGCTGCTGTCTGAAGAGGGAGGGGATGGCCAGCCTTGAGCAGACCAACAATGTACATTATGAGAAAAAGACAAAATTTGCCTTGTTCATGGTTTGTTTTGTTTTCCTGTTGGACTGGTCCTCATCCCCATCTATCTCAGTTCTCTGTCCTCCTGTTTGATATGGATGAGGCTTAGCAAAGGTTTAAGTAATGTTACTAATGACCTAATCAAAGGTCAACTCCCTTATCCTAAAGCTTACATAGTCTTCTCTTTGTTGTTTCAAATGGTGCTCTTGTGGCGTCATTAGCATCACTCCCTTTGGCTCAGCACTCCGTGTGTGTACGTTACATCTCCTCCTCACTTTTTGCTTGTGCCTCTGCCCTTAAAACAACAACTAGTGACTACTAGCTGCTATTCCTTCCTCACTCACCTTTCTAAGCATGATGGTTTACCTTCTTCTCACTTTAGTTGTCCTTCTAGCTTTGGTTCTTGTGAGCCACAGTTTATAAGTATCATCATTATTATTAGGAAGGCTCCTCTGCTTTCTTTTCCTGAAATTTCGAATCCTGTAGAAGTGCATAGTGCCCTATCCTGCTTTTCTTACTTCTCATAAACTTCTAGGGTGTATGGAGCAGTAGGGAATGAGAAGGGGTATTGAGGAATATGCAAATCCTGAATTCTCTTTGACAGCAGTGCCTGCTCTGAAAGCTTCTTCCTTTTTAATAATTTAATAATTTTAATAATTTTTAATAATATAATAATAATACAATAATTTAATAATTTTAATGGGCAGAACTGTATAACTGCCCATAAATCTCCATAGATAGTTCACAGTTGTGAACCCCATTCAGTCCTATAATTTAACTACACAGATACTTGAGCTTGAAGTTCAGAGAGTTAAGAGTCTATCCATTTCCAATTGTCTCTGTATCTCTTTGGTCCACATTCCTGGGCTGGGAGGGTGGGGCAAGCCTCTACAGACAGTATGTACAGACAGTATGTAGTTTATAGTAAGGGATGACAAGAAAGCATCACTTCCTCGGGTGCTTTCCAGACTCACAGTTCAGGGGAAGCTCCTGAGATCCCAGCTGTGGGAGGTGTGGGAGAGCCTGCACCCAACCTGCTTCCCTGCCCCACAGGAGTGCTGTTTAGCATCGAGGTCACCTCTACCTACTTTGCTGTTCGGAATTACTGGCGAGGATTCTTTGCAGCCACGTTCAGTGCCTTTGTGTTCCGTGTCCTGGCAGTGTGGAACAAGGATGCTGGTAACAGGGGAGGTCTTGGTGGAGGAAGTGTGGGGTGGGGATTGTGGTGAAGAGGTAGAGTGCTTCTGGAGCAGCACTCCAGAAAAGGAATAGATGGTGCTTGGGAAGCAAAACTAAGGGCAGAGGGAGAAATTAGATCATGGTGTAGAGAGTATAACCATGGGGCGATGCTATAGGAAAAGGGAAACTTAGTGGAAGGGAAGAGGTTAGGAGTGAAAGAAGGGAAGATTCCTGACAGGACTTCTTCTACCTTTGACTCTTTGAGCTCTCAGCCTAACTGCCTTTTCATCCTACAGTCACCATTACCGCTCTGTTCAGAACTAATTTCCGAATGGACTTCCCCTTTGACCTGAAGGAACTCCCAGCTTTTGCTGTCATTGGGTCAGTGAGACCACTCTTTCTGGGTGTGGGGACTGGGGCATGGCTGTGGTTTGGAAGGGTCTGGAGCTAGGAAGAAAGTTGTGGAGGGCATACATAAAAGCATGAATTAACTGGGAGGCAGCTGAGTGGAACGGGTAAGGCTGCTTGTTTGCTTCCCTGTACTGTCTGGATCAGAGCTTCCAGCCCTGTAACTCGCACCCTCAGGATTTGCTGCGGGTTCTTGGGAGCTGTTTTCGTTTATCTGCATCGCCAAGTCATGCTCGGTGTCCGAAAGCACAAGGCTCTCAGCCAGTTTCTTGCTAAGCAGTGAGTCATTGCCCTCTCCTTGCCCTGCCCACTTAGCTTATGATTTGCCCCAGCAGTTCCTCCTCCAGGTGGAGTTGCTGTGTCCAGCTATGGGGAGGTCTGATACTGTGGGTAGGGGCTAGTTGTGTAGGCTCTTCCCAAGTGATCACTGTCTTGGCAAAGAGAATATGCTTTGCTGAAAGGATGGGAAATGACGGCTTGGAAGCTGAGTTGTGGGTGCATTGTGAACTGGCTAAGTGGAGGAATAGGGTTAACTCTGTTTCTTTTTCAGCCGCCTGCTCTATCCTGGAATTGTTACCTTTGTCATCGCCTCACTCACCTTTCCACCAGGAATGGGTCAATTCATGGCTGGAGAGGTCAGTGTTAGAGATACCCAAGAGCAGGTGTTTAGCTCATATCTCTGGCTGTGTCTTTAGGCCTAAGGTGGGAGCTCTTGGCTCAGACTTGGAGCTTGCATTATTTTTGCCCAACTATAGGCTTTCTCTTGAGAAAAGAACAAAGTGTCCTGGAATACTGAGGCTGAGGATGAGCTCTCTAACACTGGAGGTACAGTTCATCCATGGAAAACCTGCCTCCTCTGCTTCTTCCCTCACAGCTGATGCCCCGTGAAGCCATCAGTACCCTGTTTGACAACAACACATGGGTAAAGCACATAGGTGACCCCAAAAGCCTGGGCCAGTCAGCTGTGTGGATTCACCCCCAGGTCAATGTGGTCATCATCATCCTTCTCTTCTTCGTCATGAAGGTACCCTGCCCCGCTCCAGCCCCTCTAAGCTTCTGTCTGCTATCAGTAGAGGAGCCTAGGCTTTGTATAGGAAAGATAGGACTTCATCTGATCTGTGTCCAACCTAGACAGAAATCATGAGGAAACCATAGCATAAGTTGCCTGTCTATCAAAATGAACCAGGTTGTAGCTTAATTGCTCCACTCATGCCCACTTAGTGACACTTGCCATAATTACTCTAACCCTCTAATAGCTCCAACTGTTATCTTCTTAAGGCATCAGAGCCGCCAAGTAAATTCCAGTAAGAGAGAGTTTAGCAATGTAGATAACTGTGTAAAAACCCCAGACCAATTAACCAAATTCCCCCCACATGTTAGATAATTAGATATTTAATCTCCATGGATCTGTTATTCACTTTCAGGTGATTTGCATGCAAATTTCTCTTTTCTCTTTTCTAGAATTTTGAAACTGATGAAATACCAAATCAATCTTATTAATGACTATAAATAATTTTTACAAATATAATTATTCTCCACCCATGTCGTGAGAGTATGCAGATTTTAATAGCCTAGAGGAGTTTTTCCTAACTTTAATTAGGAAATAAAAGCTGATACCTATACACCTTTTCTTGTTCAGATCTGTCCATTACAAATTATACATGTAGAGGCTTCACATTACTGCCTTGTACAAAGATATTCTTTTATTTCCAAACCTGGTTGTGACACCTATATAATTGATGGTTGTCTGGTGTTTCCTTTTTGGTGATTTCTCTTTTACTAATAGCATGCCTTAAATAAGCAAGTCGGTATTTCTTCTGTCTGTTAGGGTTCTCATAGGTATCTCTGTCCAGCGTGAACTCTCCTGCTTTGACAGTACTTTGCTCTTATTTATAATACATTTATGATTCTATATTATATAAAATATGAATCACTAAGTTATATTAGTATGGTTCTTATAATACAGCAACTGTCACTTCTCAATAAATGTTATGATATACCATATGCCAAGTATACAAGTCTTGGTCATCAGCTTTTGGCTAATTTTACATTTTCTTATTTGCTTGTTATTGCTGCTTATTACTGTACTTTCCAATGATATTATGAGTAAAGATGCCAGCCGCTTCACACAGCAGGTCTCAGATCTCAAGCTGAGGCCAGGATTTGCTGGGGGTTTCTTCTTTCCCAGTTTACTAAAGGTGAATTAACTGAATCCATATTTTGGACACTATTCATTTTACCCTTTCTTCAAAATGCATGCAAAATTTTCATGAAGACATTCCAAGAATGTTGTAAATTTGATGTCTAGACTTTCAATTATAATTTTTATCTTCTCTAATTTGTAAGTTCTGGCTTTCTATACTGTTGAGCTTACTTTACTGGGGAATAAAGTAAGGTCTTATTTGGTAACCCAGGCTAGCCTTGACCTTGTCTTCTTCTGCTGAGATTATAACATGAGCCCCAACACAATAACTCTGAATTGACTATTGAGTCTGAAATAGTCTTAACCCAGTCCATGGCTTGACAGTATTTCAGAATCTATTAATCAGTCATGCTATAGCTTGGTCTGAGCTGTATCTTACATTTGGGATTCTATAGACTGTTAAAATGTCAAGATTTTGAAAAGTTTTCTAAAAATAAAGTATTTTTAAACACTTACTCCTTACCTTATCCTCATCCCCAGATTTCCAGCTATATATCTTCACAAAATCAAGCTTATTTTCAGAACCCCACTTGGATGATATAGAAAGACTCATCTGTATAATTCACTCATCAGTGAATTATATCCTAGAGAATATTTATATTGTAAGTGTATAAGAAAAGGAGCACATTCTGGACTATATTTCAAGCCCAACAGTTTGCAGAAGGCCTACAATATTCTTTAATATTTCTAATTACAAAAGCATTCCTTGATGAAAATTCAGTTTTACCAGCCACTGCTTCCCAGCATTTTCATTGCCTAATCATTGGACTTAACAACAGTACTCTTTTTTTTTCAACTGTGAAAAATAGAACATGTAGCCAATTTGAAATATGAAAATACTTATATCTATCTAATGTTTTTCATTAGTCGAATAAAATGTCTGAAATGGGCTACCTTTTCAGGAAAAGAGTAATTTTGACTCACAGTTCTGGACATGCAAGATCATAGGGTCACACCAGTGATGGCGCTCCATGCCGTGGAAAGCATCATACAGCAAGCAACAAGAAGCACTCGTGTTTGGTGCATGTATGTGCTCTCACTCCTCAGAAAGCTGCCAGGAAGCCATCGTCGTGTCTCACCTTAGTGTCTTGTCTAATCCTAACACATTTCAAAAGCCTCCATTCCTAAGCACCACAGCTAGATTAGGTCCTCACTCTCTAGCTATCTTACAACAGAGATGAAATTTCCAAATGGAAGCACAAGAGTCATTCAAATGAGTACTACTTTTCTGCAGTCGGACTTAAAATCTAGTCCCTGTGGCCTCCTGGCAGTGTCAGTGAGGGAGGTCACATTCTCAGTTCCGCCATTTCTTAATATTGGTGAAAGGAATGTCCTACTTCCCCAACTGTCCAGTTTCAAAGTGTGCAAAGTACCATCATGTTGCACATGAAGAGATTTTTCCATGAACATAAATATAATTCTAACATCTCTGCTCCCTTTTAATAAGGCTAACACCATTGCCTGGTGTTGAGTTTCAGCATAGCCTGTTGGTCTGTGGGAGGCTTTTTGCCTGATTTTCATATTATTTCTTCTTATGGTGGGTCTAAATATAATTAAGTCAGTGATAAAAGGTTTCTAGTTTCTCAGTTTTTTAGAACTGGGTCTTGAAAATCTTAGATGTTACTTCTGTGCCACATCATTCTGGGTTTTGGCCCTTCATGTGTCAATAGCTAAAAGTTGGCTAATCTCAGTCACCCCACTGTGGACCATCAGAATTGATAACTTCTTGATAATTGGTCTTGATCTAGTTGTTATACTTATCTGGGAAAATAATCTGTTTTACCCTCCAAAATTAGACCTATCCATCACCCATCATCTGTATCATTGGTGCTTTTAGATAATCTGAGCCTACAAAATTCCTTATGACTTCCATGTGCTTATTCTGAGGAATACATGAGAGTGCAAGGATTCTTAATGTGTTAAGTGGCATCACTTAAGAAGCTTAAGCAACAGGTACCTGGAACCCTTCCTCCAAATTGTCTGATGTGGTCGCCTCCAGAGGCATCTGCTCATCTGCGTTTTCTACAAGTTCTGTGGATGAACATTGCTTTGGAATATTCTAGTGAATATTAAGCTTTGGGGGACCTTTGCTGTTATGCATGAATATAATTATATCAATGTATTGTCTTTCTTTATTTCCTGCCTACATTTATAGAGTATTGTGCCACTGCAGAGGAGGCAGAAATAAGAATATTTTTCCCTCAAGAAATGAACAGTCTGCATTCTTTTTATTTTGTACATTTAACTTGCAGTTATTTTTATTTTTTAATTAATTTTTTTATTAATTACAGTTTATTCACTTTGTATCCCAGCTGTAGCCCCCTCCTTCTTCCCCTCCCAATCCCACCCTCTCTCCCTCATCTCCTCCCATGCTCCTCCCTAAATTGCAGTTCTTAACCATCTCCATGATAACGTTCTGACAGGGAGTAGATATTTTCTTCATCTTACACTTCTGAAGTAAAGTTTTCTCTGAATCTTCATCATTGCCTCTTGGGTACAGGATTGGCTTAAAAGAATCCTTCCTAAAGTTCATAAAATTAAGAAACTTATTTTTCATTAGTGTATCTTACGCATGATTCAAGAAATATCAAATACTTTAATCTTCACAGCTTGTTAGACTTTGAGCTGTTTTCATCATATACCAAACTAGTTTGGAATCCTTTTCTAAGAGTTATTAACTTATATTGGAAGAACTTTCAAAGCTATGTCTCACACTTTTATTTTATTTTTTAGATATTTAAGGTTCAGCCATTACTCCTGTTCTACTCTATTTCTCAATTCTTCTGCATTCTTTGCCTCAGAATGTACATACTGCTTTTGCTATAATTACCCCAATTTAGAATATTCTAAAATATTCTATTTTAGAATAGTGCCTTACAAAGTTGATCTTGAATATCTTTTTTGTTATGTTGAAAGACTAATCAGATTCTGAGTTTGCCCTTGTGATATAGCCAGGACAGATCAATGTTTTTTTGGTTTTGTTTTTTATTTTTCTCCCATACTGGGGATTGAACATGGTGTCTCACAGAGTCTGAGAATACACTCTATCACTGTATGTCCCCAGAATCCAGATATAATTCTTATCCTTGTTTAAGGTGGCTTGATATCAAAGACAAAGGCCCTCGTGGAACAGTCCTCTCTTCAGGTTCCCAGTGAGGCTTACCTTGAGTATGGCTTTGTAAATGGTCAAATCAAAGCTAAATTAATCATAAAGTTTAGGGTATATACTGCATCAGTCTATGGCCCTTTTATAGAAATATAAGCTGAGTGGGGAAAAAAAGCTTCTTCCAGCTTAGCATTGTAGATTACTCCATAGAGGCGAACTTCCTGGGCTGACTGAGTTCACTGATCTTTTTGTAACAGCGAAAGAGGGATCCTCTGGGGTTTCCTTGTTCTAGATTGTGGAAAGGAAAATACAGTCACTCAAAGTTGGAAGGGTTTGTGTTAGCCATCTGGAGGATGGCTTTATTATCCTGGTGTCTTTGTTGATCTCTCAGCCAAGTTCTCAGGCTCTAGAGAATGGTGACAGACAAGAAGGCTTCCAAAAGGGTTGGCTATCCTAGGACATTTTTGTTATGACTCCTGAAGCAGGAGGGAGGATGGGCAGGGAAGAAAGATGGGTGCGGGGTGCTTCGGAAAGAGTACACTAATATATATATATATATATATATAAAATATATGTATAATATATAATATATTAATATTATATATATAATATTAATTATATATAATATAATATATGTAATATTATATTATATAATATTAATATATTATATATATATATTTTTCCCCCCTAGTTTTGGATGTCCATTGTGGCCACCACTATGCCTATACCCTGTGGAGGTTTCATGCCTGTTTTTGTGCTAGGTAAGGATTGATGGCATTGCACTAATAACTACAATCTGGGTGGTTGGTGGGAAAACAAGGAAAAACCTAGGATTTGGGGAGTTTGTGCTCTTAATGCCTAAACACAGATCATGCGGAAAACATAGAGACAAAGGAAATGCATCTTAATATTTTTCTTCTTTCTTTCTTTTTTTATATTTTTCTTCTTTATCTTCCCTCTAGGAGCTGCATTTGGAAGGCTGGTTGGAGAGATTATGGCCATGCTGTTCCCTGAGGGTATCTTATTTGATGACATCATCTACAAGATCTTACCGGGGGGGTATGCAGTAATAGGTGAGACATACTCCTAACTTCTATAACCAGACATTGGGTATTTTAAATACACTTATTTAATTTTGTTCAAACAATCAGCTCTTGGCTCTGCTTCTCACTGTTTCTTTTCTGTAAGCTTTGATTCCCTCCTGTGGAAAATGGATGTAGGAATCAATTAAGTAAATAAGGGAGCCAGGGGCAGTGGTACACACCTCTAATCCTAGCACTCAGGGAGGCAGAGACAGGTGGATCTCTGTGAGTTTAAAGCCAGCCTAGTCTACCAAGTGAGTCTGGTACAGCCAAGGCTACACAGAGGAACCCTATCTCGGAAAACCAAAAATGAATAAGAAAATAAAAGAATGAGGGTTCTCTTCATTGTCTTTGCACGTTTAGTAGGCTTTTTCTTTCCTGAGAATCATGGAACCAATATTCCGGGTGATGAACCCAGTCCATCCAAATTGAGCTGTGCTAATGTTAATGAGACTAAGAAGACAGGAATAAGAGCTGAGCCCTGAACTTCTAAAATGACGTCTGAGATAGAGCTCTGTATGGCACTGTACTGTCTGATTCTAGTCCATTTATAAATGCTTCCATTATCAGCATCTTCTGTTCTCTTCATGCCTCTCAAGTATCTCTCATCTTCCATAGGGCACAGTTCCCAGTATACACACACTACATAGTTTATGTTCTGAACTATGCTCTGTGTGTTACCTACTAGGATCATACATTCCAATATTAGACTTCTCTAACCTTTCCTTGTTACATTTTCACATAAGGATTCTCCTATATTTTCCAACATTATATCTCCATCATTTTATTAGGCTTAGGGTTTTTGTTTTTGCTTCTGTTTCTTTGAGACAAGTTCTCTTTACATAGCCCTTGCTGTTCTAACACTTGCTATGTAGGCCATACTGGCCCTTCCCTCATATTTGAATAAGAAATAACATTAAAGCATGAGTTGATAAGAAAACAAAATACATAAGATTGATTCTATCTTTGGTTAGCTTATAGAACCATAAATATTTAGATCTGTAAGAATGTTAGAAGGTTTTGACTGACCCTTTCACTCTGAGGATGAGAACACAGTATTCCAGGGAAGTAAACACAGAATCAGAAGTAGACACAGAATCAGGATCTGCGGATCCTGATTAATGGAAGCATCATTGCTCTATGTCCCCACCATGGTTCTTCAATTTTCATGCTATTTATTCATAATCTGTTGGCATCGATATCTGAGGTTCAAAGTAAGATCATTGGGTTTTTAAATATTCAGTTAAAAAGCAGAGAATGGAGAAGATATCCCTCTGTTCACATTATAAACGAAAAACTGCATGTATACAGGTTTTGTGACTTGGTGAATATTATATATAAATTAGCTCAAAAGGATAGTTTTTGAACAGGCCAGTATTCTAGCCCCTACTCTTGAAAAGTAATAATCCTGGGATTGTTGACTGACCAAGGTCCTGTCTCCTAGTCTGTGCTGTTCTTATTGTACCCTCATGTATCCCCCATGCCAAGAAAAGCAGGTCTAACCCATTAATACATTTCTGTCACTCCAGGAGCAGCGGCCCTGACAGGGGCTGTCTCCCACACAGTCTCCACAGCTGTGATTTGCTTCGAGCTAACCGGTCAGATTGCTCACATCCTGCCCATGATGGTGGCTGTTATCTTGGCCAACATGGTGGCTCAGAGCCTGCAGCCCTCCCTCTATGACAGCATCATTCAGGTCAAGAAGCTTCCCTATTTGCCTGACCTTGGTTGGAATCAGCTCAGGTCAGGGCCACTAGCTGGAATTAGTTTAGATATGGTGGGATGTGGGAGGACCTGAAGTGGAGAATGAGTTGGGAAACACTGTTTTTTAATTATTTTCATGTTTCCATCCACTTAATAAATATTGTGTTTAAAGAGTACATGGCAGACCTTGGGGGAAGAAGGGCCAGCATAGGCATATAGTAGGCTAACCCCGGCTGCTTTTTCCCTCCTTAGCAAATTTACCATCTTTGTTGAGGACATCATGGTACGTGATGTGAAGTTTGTCTCAGCTTCTTGCACATATGGGGAACTGAGAAACCTACTCCAGAGCACCACAGTCAAGACTTTACCATTGGTTGATTCAAAAGGTAAGTGGGAAGTAAAGAAGCCAGCTGGGGACCAGCAGGGTTGTCCAATGGCAGAGAGCACTAGTATCACTTCAGTTACTGTCTAACACTGATATTAAAACACCTAATGTAAACAGGTTAAGAGAAGAAATGTTTATTTCAGCTCATGGTTTCAAGGAGTTCAGTCTACTATGGCAGAAGTAGAATGGTGGAACAGAGTGGCATACATCATGGCAGGCCAAGATGCCCAGGAAAAGATGTTGGTGCTCAGTTTTCTTCCCTTTTTTGTCCTTTTTTTTTTTTTTTTTCTGGATGCAAAACCATGGGATGATGAACATATATTCAGAGTGTATGTTCCCCACTTACTTCTCTCTAGAAATGTCCTCATAGGCACACCCAGAGGTGCCTCACCAATCTCCTGGGTGATTCAGAATCCAGTTATTCTGACAGTAGGATTCACTAATGCAGGTGTGGACTCAAACTTAGAGCTATCCAGCTACTAAGGGAAGTTATCTTACCCTTATTGAGGTACATGTTCTTCCTTCCGGAAGTGAGAAACAGCCATACCACAGGCACACAAAGTCAGTTAAAATCCAGTTAAGGAAATAGGAGCAAGTCTTACTATTCATGGGCGCCATGAATTCTAAAGTCTTTCTCAGTTTGGAATTAGTGAACAGTTTACAGGATAATGTTTCAAGGGGAATAAGTCTCTTGATGCTGGTCACAGCATTTTTGCCAAGCAATCAATACATAGCCATGCTTTATGTTTGTTTCTGTTTTAGATACCTTATTTAATATATTTTTTTTTCATTTATTAACTCTGAACTCATGACCAAAGCACTATTAATTCTACCAGATGAAATTCAGCTAATGTGTTTTCTCAATAAGGCAAAGCACAGTCTTCCCTCCTTGTGCTTAGAAACAGCAGACAGCACTTCAGTGGTGCATCTGGGGGCATTTTACCCAGCAGAATCACCACACAAAGCACAGAGATTCGAAAAACAATGTGGCATTAGATAGACTGCTAACAGAACACTTGTTTACTCGGCCTGAAATGGGAAGGCTGAGTGCTGTTTGTTCAACCTCAGCTGGGAACATGAGGTTCTGCAGCTCACTTTGTTGTTGCTCTGGGCATGGCTGTGAGTTACAGCCAAAGCATCTCTAGCATTGGAATTACAGATATACTCTGGTGGGTAAGCCAGTTCACTTCATATATAATGTGGGTCAACTGTAAATCTTGGGCTCCCTCCTACTTAACTAAATTCAGTTATTTCTTAGTGGCCAAGTGAAGGAAGAATGTAAAACGTGGAGGAGTTGGTGGGGATGTTCTTTCATTCACCATTCTTCCGGCCCACCACTGGCATCTCACTCTAGTATTCATCACTCTTACTACAGTTTGTCTTTTTCATTAGATTGGGTAGTCTTTGAGTGTAGAGACCATGCTCTCTGTATTTTCAGAGTTCTAAGTATTAATGAGTACTGGACCTTCAGTACTCATTCACTAGTCTGTGAATTAGCGTAATAGGAATTAGACACGAGGGGCTATTTGGGAGCCAGGAGTAATGTTAGTTTTGACCTCAGATATTCAAAGTATCCAAATTTTTTGAAGTACACTAGTTCAGGCATTTCCCCTAAGCTTGGAGACCTTCTCAGTAGCTTCTGAAACCACAGCTCTTCCTTAGAGCAAGGGTGCAGCCAACTGGGTGCATGGCTTTCATGATGTGACGAAGTCGTAACAGTATGAGGTGGGTCTAAGTTCTAAGTGCCCTTGATGCAGTGCTATCGTAGTTAACTTACAGCAGTGTAGCAGAATCTCTACATATACATAAACACATACAAGGCCTGCTGGGAAGGGAGCATTTTGTTTATATCCCATGAGGGCCTACATGCTTTAAGGGATGAAACTTCTTCCAGGATAGGGGCCTCATGCTAGTGTTGCTCACAGTAGATTTCTTTCAGGGAGTGATTGAGTCTCAGATTGTTACAACTGCCTCTCAGGTTTCACTGTATTTGGATAGGGTTGATCAGCCTATTTCAATAGAGAGCTTACATATTTGCATATATTATATTAGGGCAGCGTACAGATAAGTACAGATTAGCACCAATTAGTGTGCTGCCAATCGGGTCCATAAGTGCTAAATGTGTGAAATTAAGGGATCAAGTGAGGCCACCCTGGAGGAGTTTTAGATGAGTTTTTAGTAAGAAAGAGAAGACCTGGAGTAAGAAAAGGTTCTGAGCTTCTACTGCACCTGACCTGCTCACACGTAGGTGCGAAGCAGGGCCTCAGGGAAGCATGATTGTCTCCCAGATTCAATGATCCTGCTGGGCTCTGTGGAACGCTCAGAACTGCAGTCCCTCCTGCAGCGCCACTTGTGTGCTGAGCGGAGGCTGAGGGCTGCCCAGGACATGGCTCGCAAGTTATCGGAGCTGCCCTATAATGGCAAGGCACAGCTGGCTGGGGAGTGGCACCCTGGTGGTCGACCTGAGTCCTTCGCCTTTGTAGATGAGGATGAAGATGAGGAGCTCTCCAGGAAGACAGAGGTGACAAGACAGAAGGGGGAGGGAGGCTGACAGAAGGGAAAATGCCAGTAGGTGACATTTGTTGTCAGTGACATTGCCAGTGATGGCTGGGCTGGGCTTTGCTATGACAGGTGCTGGATAGAAGGAAAGGGGAAGGGAAACACTGACAAGTACAAAAGTGACAATAAGGATCTAGTGCAAAAGAGACCAGTGCCAGGGTGCTGTTTTGAGAGGAAAAAGGGGAATCCGGGCGGGACTAGTAAAGGTAGCAGGCATCATGGGATGTGGCCTCTTCTCTGAGGCTGGAAATTTTTGCTATTTTATTTTTAGCTTCCACTTCCTCCTCCTTCACTTCCCTCCTTTCCTGCTGTTCCATCATACCCTGAAGAACCTAATGGGCCGCTGCCTAGCCACAAACAGCCACCTGAAGCCCCGGATCCCGCAGGTAAAGACTTCTCAGCATGTCTTGGGAGTTATGTTGGAACTCACCTTCACCTAACAGCTTTTCTTAGTAGATGTGAGGCTAGGCAATTTCTAGATCTCACTCTAATTGATTAATCCCCATAATGCTATCCTAGGGAGTTGGGACAGAGGTAGAAAAGAGGAATCCACTGGGATACAGCATTGAAGAAGTGCAACTCTTTGGTGGCACAGTGTCAGGGGCCATTGGAAGTCCCTGGCCACTTCCCCCATCTTCTTGCTATTCCTTTCAGGTCAAAGACCATCCATCTTCCAGCGCCTGATGCACTGCTTATTGGGCAGAGGTCACTCCACAAAGAAGAAAGCAACCCAGGTAAGGATATGTTCAGAAGAAGAAGGACAGTCAGGAAATTTTCTTTGAGGAATGAGAAACCATGGTCCTTAGTTAGAAGGACAGAGATCCCACCAAAGATGATGGTTTGAAAAGGTGGCTGCTTGGGACCTGCCCAGGAGGATATAGTTTCTGCTTTGCTGAGAACCATAACTAGTCTGAGAAGAGAAGGGAAGAACGTGTGTGTCTTTCTTCCCTAGGATTCAACAGATTTAGTGGATACCATGTCACCTGAAGAGGTAAGAAAATCCACAGCTTGGAATGAATTGTTTCATCCAATGAAGGTATTGTTTCTTCTTGTTTTTTTTTTTAAGTTTTACTTTTGAGACAGGGTCTTACTATGCAGCCCTGGCTGGCCTGAAAATCAGTAGCCTCAAATTCACCGATAGCTATCTGCCTCTACTTCCCGAATGCTAGGATTAAAGGTGTGCAACCAGCATTTCTTATTGTACCAACAAGATTGAAATGCAGCCAGTCAGTGAATATGGCTATTTAATACCTATTAGAAATAAAGTGCATCCAGGTACAAAAAGAAGACTGATGATAGATTTCTAGTGTATATCTTTCCCAAGACATACATAGATGAGACATTTCTGAGGAATAATATCCAATACAAGTAAAAATTCAGACTATTTTGAGAGAAGACAACCTTGACAATATCAAGATGCTGATTTTGACAAAAATCACACTGAGCCAATACAGAAATTATAGAAAGAATTCATATGAAAAGAATTCACCTGTGTCCCTGCTATGATTTAAATTTCACATAGTAAGAACTCTGGCTTCTAACTTATGCTGAACGTTTCATAAGACCCAGCAGCAACATCTTCCTCCCCTCGGAAAGAAGCTGAAGTTGAGTTATATCTGAGATTTGGTCAGCACACAAATGCTAGAGTCCATCAGTTGCTGCCTATGGAGCCCCCCTGGCAGACATAGCACAGTGCGTCTGTACTTCATCTGCAAAATGTAGATGGAGACAGGGTTGTTAAGAGAATTCAATGAGCTAAGACATGCAAAGAAATTAGTGTTATGCCCAGCACAGACAAAGTTCTTGGCAAATGTGCTCTGAAAATGTTACTGCCAGTGTTATTGGGAAAAGGCAAAATCAAACAAACAAAGGATGCAGAGGCTTGGTATGATCTCAGAAGGAGCGAGAAGATATCCTATCTAAGTCCTTTAGCCCCATCCTCTTTGCAACATTTTGGATAGGTGTCCTTTTATGCAAAAAGCCAGTTAGGCTACATGTGAACCTTTAGTTGGGGCCATAGGAGTTTAGAGGATGCATGGCTACGACCAGAAATTTCAAAGGGACATGATACATGGAGGGTGCTTCACTTGACTCCATACTCAATCCTAGGACAAGGAGCTAGCTAACCTATACTAATAGTCTCTGAAGGTTAGAGTGCAGATTTGGACAAGTAGAGAGTTGAAGTGTGACATCACTTAGAAAGTAGGACAGAAAAACATCTTATACTCATTTCTGAATGCTGGAGAGAGTGGCTTATCTGGCATCTTGTGGGTGTGTCAGTCAAGAGGATTGCTGGCTTTCTGCCTTAATGATTTGGCTAATAGGCTGAAAACAAAAGCAAGAAAAACATGGATAGTTCAAGTCAACTAAATACCAAGTGATATAGGGAGTCTGCTCAGATTTGATAAATATTCACTCTGCTCTGCACATAAGGGGCAACTATTAGCTGCCTTGGTCTCCAACTGTTGATATCACTTAACCTTCTCAATGAGTATTTGTCTAGTAGGCAGAAGACAGGCAAGTGCCAGCATGACACTGGCAATGCCATTTTACAAAAGCAAAGATTCACGAAGTGTCAAGGTATGATAGGGATTATTAGACAGAAAATCATGGGGAATGTCAATAAGATACACAATGAAGATTGGAAATAAATGTTTGGAGACCCAGGAGGACTCAGAAGACTACAAGAAGGAGCCATGTTCTTGGTACCTGAAGGTGAAGGGTAGAATTTGAGGCCAGATAACAGGAGAAGGAAACTGTGACCCTCTAAGAAGAAAAGGTATGCCTATTGATCCACAGTGTCTATGATGATTCCTAGATAAAGCTGAGTTGAAGGGGTCTCTATGATACTCTGTCAACAGATTGAGGCCTGGGAGCAGGAACAGCTGAGCCAGCCTGTGTGCTTTGATTGCTGCTGCATCGACCAGTCTCCTTTCCAGCTGGTGGAACAGACAACTCTGCACAAGGCAAGCCCTTGCTGACTGCTCAGGGCTTTAGGGAGGGCAGAAGTGGGGACATACTGACCTGTGCTTTCCCCATCAGACTCATACGCTCTTCTCACTTCTTGGCCTTCATCTTGCCTATGTGACCAGCATGGGAAAGCTCAGAGGTGTCTTGGCACTGGAAGAGGTAAGGATGAAGAGGCCCCACTTGACCAGAGAGAGGCAGGAATGGACTTTGCACAAGGGGCATGGTTGGGGAACGTATAGAGATTTCTCTAAAAGGGACAGACTGCAAGGCATGTTGTAGTCACAGTTCTATAAGTGACAACAGTTCTCTAGCCCAGAAGAGATCCTGTGTGATCTCCCAGTGGTCTGGACTGGGAAATTAGCTTTAGTTGTAAGCTATGGGAAGGGGTATGGGAATCTGAGGGAGTTATGAAGCCATTACTAGGAGGAAAGGGGTTTCTAGGGATTGCTTTCTTAGGGGAGCTGGAGAGTACTTGTTGTGCAGGAATAGCTTTGTTTTTTTCTGTCTTCTATGATTGTTCCCTGTCTGTCTCTGTTTATCCCTTTCTTACCACTCTTTCTATTTCTGTTTCCTCCTGTTTTGTTTGTGCCTTTGCTGTCTCCCTCATTGTCTTCCATCTTGTTTTTCTTTCCCATTGTCTATCTCCTTTTCCTCCCCAGCTACAGAAGGCTATTGAAGGCCACACCAAATCTGGGATACAGCTCCGCCCTCCTCTTGCCAGCTTCCGGAATACAACTTCAACTCGGAAGAGTCCTGGGGGACCACCCCCTCCTGCAGAGGGCTGGAATCTGCCTGAGAGTGGAGATGGGGCTCCTGAAACAGAAGCCATGGCTCCTGCCATGCCAGAGACTCCTATACTGCTACCATCTCCAGAGGTCCCTTCCTGTCTGGCCCCAGCCAGAGTGGAGGGTGAGCTAGAGGAGCTGGAGATGGTGGGGAGCCCAGAGCCTGAGGAGGACCTGGCTGACATCTTGCATGGCCCCAGCCTGCGGTCCACTGATGAGGAGGATGAGGACGAGCTGATCCTGTGAACAACCCCCTCCAAGCTTTCTTCATAAAACCCATAGGGCCCATGCCAGAGAGTGGGCTTATGTGTGATAGGGATGCCCTGAAGTTGGGAAGGCCTCCACTTCATCTTGTTCCTTCCCCCACTATGAAAGGTGATGGTGATGCTCTTAAGGAAAACTTGATCTTGGGCAGGGAAGAATTTGGGTCCATCAGATGCCCTCCCCCTTTTCCAGGCAGGATTCAAGGCCCCATCCTTAAAGGACCTGTGTTTTCCTGCTGTGCAGGTTCAGCCCCCATCACTGTTTAACCTCCCACAGTTCCCAGTCTTGTTCATTTACCATCCTGGCCCTGCCTATCTAGACTTCAGTGTCTACAAGGAATAGGTGAGTGGAGGCCCAGATTGACTGACTCTGCAAATGTCACACTGGAAGGGAATGTGGGACCACAATATTGCCCTGTAGACTGAACGCCATACAATTTACCCCCAAGCCTCACAGCCTTACTCTTTACCTGTCTGCTCCACACAATTTGTTCCTAGAACCCTGCTGGGGCAGGGCTAAAAATGCCAATCCTTGTTTCCAAAGAACCAAGTGCAGTTCCCTGGAAAAGAGGTTGATGGAGGTTCTGTGTGGAGAGACCAGTGTCATGGCCCAGTGCAGTGTCTGTCTACTACAGCAGAAAGCTCTTATCCCAGGCTCTCTGCCTGATTTCATACATATCCCTCTTGCCTGCTGCAAACTGCTGACTTAGCCTGCCAAGAGTCAGCCTTGCCTTGGGGCCACTCTTACTGGAACTCCTCCCAAAGCACACCCATCCAGCAATGGGTCATGCAGATTCCAGATCTTTATAATAGTTCCTTGGGTTCCTCTGGCATAGACTTGGGGGCACCTTGGGGTGGCAAGCTTTCATTTGCCCCCTTAGAGGACTTCCATCTTTTTCTTCCAAACTAGCAAGGAGCTTGTTAGTTGTACTGCACAGCATTAGTCTGTTTCACCGCAAAAGAGATGCCAGATGTTCTGAGCATCCAGATGCCCTGGCTCCATTCCTGGGCTCTTTTCCTTTCCTCACTATGTGCCTTTAACTCTGCAGTTGAGCCCTCAGACATTCTCCTTCTTTTCCTCCCCTTGCCCAGGCCTCTTCTGTCCCCCCAAATAAGACACTCATAGTCAGAGATGCCACCACGTTCTGTTTAGTGTCATTGAACACAGACTCTGGCCTTCTCCAACACAGGTACCTTCCACCACCCCAGGCCAAGAAAGACACTGAGGCCTAGGTAGGAGGATTAGCAGCAGGCATCCAAGCCTATGCCCATGTGTAAATAATCTATAATACTTATATATATATATATATATTTATATAGAATTCTCTCTGTAATATATGTCATAGAATCCTTCTTGGGCCTGGGGTGAGAGTTTCACATTAAGAAAACATGCTAAGACTGACCATAAAAATGGGTATTTCTCAGACCTGGAAGACGGAATGTGGGATATATAGGGTCAAGGATAAGAACTCGTCCTTCAAGATTCCCTCCTTAACACAAAAGAAGGGAGGTGTGTGATCTGGGGGAGGGCCATGGAAGGGGTGGAATGGAAGGTTTGGATTTTCATTTAATAAAGTCTTTTGAAAATGAAACTGTACCCCCCCCCTAAAAAAATCATTCAGCAAGAGCAGTTTCATTCACAAGAATATTAAAAAAACAGCCCTGCTCCCCAGCTGCTGTAAAACGTGCTACACAAAAGAAAAAGCAACCCTTCCCACCCACCCCCAACAGCCTTCTCCTGCACATGCCCCCCCTCCCCTTAAAGTAGGCTAGAAGCAAACCCCCATGCACCCTGCCCCAGCACCGAGAGGTGGTCTCTCCCTTGAAAAGAGTTCAAAATGGTCCTGGGCCAGCTCCTTGAGTCTTCTTCAGAGTGGGGTGGGTCTCACCTGCCTCTGTGGCAGTGTGCCAGCCTCCTGGGGAAACCAAGCCCCTGCGTGGGCACAAACCCTATTAGGTTCCTTCAGGTGTTTTGTGGTCTTTCATTAGGGACCATTTGGCTTCCTTGAGGAATGGAAGGAGGAAAGAAAGCTGCTTTAGTTTAGTCTTCCCAACTCTCTGGGGCCCTGAGCAAAAGGGAACCAAAATGAATAAACCTGCTCTCTGGACTCCATGTCTACCATCACCTACGGGAAGAATATGGGGGCACTGAGATGAGACAAACATTTTGATAGAGCAGGACAGACAAGGCAAAGAGACCCTGGGAGTAGGTTAGCTTGAACATGCAAAGTCCCAGGGGGCTAAGACAGGAGACCAGGGGTTAGGGGTAGTTGCCAGGGTTGGCAGGCTAGCCCTTCCTAGTCCTAGAAATGAGGTCCTGATATGCTAAACCACAGCATACTAGTGAACACGAGGTATCTTCTCCCATTCAGGCAGCATTAGATGAGGTAAGTGACTGTTCACCTACCTTGGCTCTCTAGGTTTAGTCCCATGTTTCCTACATTAACAGACCTCAGGATCCCATGTGTCCTTCTCCCCAGTAGGATGTGGGATACCTACTCTGGTTACACTTTATTGTATGAATGTGGCACAGGACAGCATCACAGATGAAAAGAATCACTCCAGTGCTGAGCCTCGTCATGTCTGTGGGTGAGGGAGCAGCTTAGGACCCCTGACATTACAGTAGGACACACGGCCTTGGAACTGGAGCCATGGACAGACAGAAGGAGAAATATAGAGTGACAAGCTTGGACATCTCCTATCAAAACTCTGCTTTTGCCAAGGGCCAATTGCAGCTGCAGCTGCACCCTCATGGCAATACTGCACCGACTTGCTTTTGCTCCCTGCCCCCACAGTCCACTCCAAATCAAAGGGAAAAGGGGACAGGCAGCTTGTGTCTCACGACAAGCAGTCGTGTAAGGACCACCAGGTTGAGGACCCCTGGGAATAGCTGACAAACAAGCAGCCAGTGTCCCCCCTGGCCCTCAGCCGCAAGCTATCCCAGCCAAGGCAGTGACAGCACCACACTCCCGCTCCACTCTGCTCAACCCTGAGTCCCCAACAAGTTATAAAAATGTAGAAAAGGCAAAGAGAAAAGTGTAAACAGCTCCAGAGAATTAGGGGAAGGTAGAGGGGGCCTCACCCTCATAGTGCCACCACTGGGGGGGACACTGCATCCTAGGTCAACAATTTGAGATGCTCATGCTCCTCAGGGCTGGGCGCCAGATGGAAGAAGGCAGAAAGGGAAGCCAGAACTGGAGTGCCAACCCCACCGGCCTTCCCCCAGATCCTTAAGGTCCTCCTTCCAGCCATGGGACATTCAAGTGGCTGTTTTTCCTTTGTCTCATCAGTGACCCTCTTGTCTCTGAGCAGGCCTTAGGATAAAGAATCATACTCTGACCCCTGTCAATCCCAGCTGCCACGTCCACCTCATCCTTGGCTCCTGATTTCAAAAGCCAAAGATTGCCTGAATCGGGCCCAGTGTCTGTGCTAAACACAGAAGAGCCCTTCAGGCCACTCTGCTGTACCCGCCAAGCCATGTCCAACAGCCCCTGAGGCCTGCTTCCCACAGTGGGGATGCACTGGAGCCATGGCCAGAGAAAACAGAATCAGGAAAGCAAGAGTGAAATGGAGAAAGGAGGCATTCAGACAGCACAGCCAAGGCTCCTGGAAGACGAAATCAGGGGTGTAAAAACTGAGATTCAGTGTTCAGCATGACGGACCTAGGCATGGACCCAAGAGCCACAGCCGTGGCTCATCTCCCACCACGATGCCATCTAATTGCCTGGGTCCCAGTTCCTGGAATGATGGTTTCTGAAGCGCAAGCCTAGATAAAACCCCCTTCTGGTCCTTCACTTTACAGGGCTGCTAGAGGCCTGGTGAGGGCTGGAAGCACCCGGTTCCCTGCTGTCTTCTGCCCGGGTTTAATCTGTGCTGCTGGAGCTTGGGAGGGTATGGGCTGCAGCCATGCCCCTCAGGTCGGAGTGGGGTAGGAAGAAGCTAGTTGTTGGCATCCCCATCCTCCTCATCAAAGGACTGCACACCTGAGGATGTGACATCAGACACCTTCCTACTGAGAGCAGTAGACATCTCTGGATCCTCTCGTGGGGAAAGTGACTCCAAATCCCGGCATCCTGCATCCTCTTCCTCTTCAGGGGCCAGTGGTCTCTTCTCTTCCTCTACAGGTCCCCTGGCCAGGTCCACCCCACCAACCTCTGGTGCCCAGTCACTGTCCACCCCCAACAAAGGTGGAGGCTCCTGAGCAGAGTATCCTGAAGCAGGTTGGGAAGGCCCCATGTCATGCAGGCTGGGCTGTGAGTCATCAAATGCAGGGCCAAGATAGGATCCTGTAGCTGGAGATGCAATGAGGGACTGATCACTTGCTTCCCAGGCATCCGATGATCCCAGACAGTACATCCCCTGTGACACATAGGAGTGAGGCCATCCATCCATGGGGGCTTGAGCTAACGCATCTGTAAAGAGAATGAGCAAGGTTGGAGGAGCCACAAAACATCACTGGCAGTGAAAGGAGCTCACAGACTTCTCACACAGTTATGACACAGGTCCAGGGGCATTGCAGAAGGAGAGACAAAAGGGAAGGTCCTAAAAGAACAGAAAAGGGTAGAGGGAACTAATCTAAATAGGCTCAGTTTTCAGGGTTTGATTCTAGAACCATCTCTCACCCTGACTTTCCATCAGCTCCTGGTAGTTGTCACTGTAGTTGCAGTCCAGTGGCTCCTGGGTAGAATTGACACTCATGTCCTCACCATCCATGGAAGACCAGGCCATAAGTGTAGCCTCAGAAATAGCAAACTGTTCCATAACCCCTATGAGAAGAAATGAAATTATCGTAAAAGTCCTCAAGTAATCTCTAGACCCATGCTAGCAGTAGGGAGAAAGCTGTCACACCATGGTTCAGGGGAAGTAAAACATAAGCCATGTGTGCGATCATTTAAGAAAAGTAAACAGAAACAAGTGAAATTACTGTTAATAACAAATCCTACATAAGTATAATATATATGATTCTCTTTCAACATATAATCAATATAAACACTGTTAATGAGATATCTTACATTCTTCATATGATGTCTTTGAAATTTGGTTGAAACTTTACTTAATAGCACATCTCCACTGAGACAGGTCACATTTCAAATTCTCAATATACACATGTAGCCAGGGGATATCCTGTTACTCTGAAACAAAGCTAGAGCATGGGATATTTTCAAAAAGGTCACACTTAGAATTCCTAGGAAAAAATGTTGGGCTTTCCTGGTGAATTACAGTTAGATGTTCCAGAAGCTTGTCTTTTGAGGTTTAGAATTTGAAACTGGAGCTGCAGAGATGACTTATCAGAAAAGAGAACTCACTTCTCTGGCAGAGGACCTGAGTTTGCTTTTGAGCACCCATGCCGGGCAACTCAAAATAGCCTTTTACTCCAGCGTCAGGGGTTGCAACTCCGCTGAACTCCTAGGTCTCTTGTACACACGTGGAACACATGAACTTATGCAAGCAAACACATGCGAACAGAAATAAAGTCATATTTTTTTTAAAGGAAGAAATGAACCTAGTTTCAGGTGGTCTGAGAAAGAGGAATATAGATAGTGGGTTTCAAGATAAATGAATTTCCAAGGGAGAATCAGGTGAACGTGGGTCCCCAGTTATATAAGTGACTCAAGGAATATCATTATATCACGCTGATATCTAGTGATATCAGTTGTATCAAGAGACTCAAGGTGGAGAGGGCATAATAGTGAAGACAGGAAGTTGTGAGCATTGCAGGTCCCTATTCGAGTCAGGGCCATGAATAAGCAAAGCTCTAACTGCTATTACCTTGTCCTTCCTCTGTCCTCCATGTCCATCCCCCGAACCCACTCAGACCTCCTCCACCAACCACATGTATACCAACAATACTAAAATCTTCCCTTCTCTTCAGACCTACCCCTCTTCTTGGTTATCTTCCAGACACCCGCCAGCAGGATTACTTCACCTTTGTGTGTCACCACATACTTGTCATCAGACCTATCCTGCTTCCCTAGAACTCAACCACTGTCTCCAGGGCCATTCCCCTTAATCATCCACTAGCTGTCACAGTAATGAGTACAGTAAGTCAATTCATGAAATCAAACGTTGACGAGCATGGCTGCAAGAAATTCCCCGGGCCTCTTTCATTTTTAGAAACAAATGCGAGCAGAGTCATTTGAAGCCCAAGGCCTCTGTGTTTTTCTCCTATACAAAGGGAGGCCAGGGGGAAATGGTACCATACTAAAGGAAAGAAAACATGTGTGACACATGGCCTTAGAAATCTCACCCGAGTAGTAAAAACATGTCGGAGGGCACTTAACCAGTCAAACATACTTGAAATCAAGGCTGGTGGAAAATGTGAGCCTGTGGTCAACGTGCAGGGAGACAGTTTTGCTATAGGGGAGCAGGTTGGAGAGTGCCTCTGACCATCCAAAAAAACTGTCTCATTTGAGGGCTTGGGATGCAAGTACCTGCTAGGAAACGTGCCTCCTTCTCGCCATCGCTGAGGTCAGAGTAAGCATCTGTATCCCTGCGCACAGCCTCGTGGCTGTGTTGTGGCTGAATTGTTGGAGCCTTTCCCCAGCCCTGCCATTCAATCATGTGGGCCACCCGGCCTTGCCCCATGGCTGTAGGCTTTGTCACATGGTCCTTCATGCTCCTCGAGATCCCTGTGGAGTCAGACAATATCCATACCCTTCAGACTATCACACAACACTCAGAGCAAATCCTCCCTTCATCCCCACCCAGGTCCCATGTGATTCCATGCACTGGGGAAAGTATCCCCTAGTACCCTGTGGATGAGACCCGGGACAGGAGGGGCTTAGCAGAAGAACGGATGCTTCAGAGTCGTGGGCATGAACCCCATCAGCATTGAGGAACAGGGGCAGAAGGAGAAACCTGTCAGTTGTCCCATTTCCCGTTTTGGAGTCTCACCTGAGAATGATGACTTGGCCAGGGCCCCAATGCCATAGGCATTAGAGTTTCGCTTAAGCTTCGGGAGGATGGAAGTGGTGTCTTCCATGGAAAGCTAGGACAGGGGAGATAAGAGAGTGGGCAGAGGAATAAGAAGGCTTGGGGTGCCTTATAGACAGAATAGACTTTTTAGCTCCCAGGAAGGTGGATACCCAAGGTAGAAGAAAGTGACAAAGAAAACCAAGGAAGTATATATATGGTACACCCTGAAAATTGGGGGCTCAGCCTGTCTATAAAGGGTCCCAATGAACATAAGAAAAGAAGGGTCAGGGTAGATTAAGGAGGGCTAGGGTTGGCTGCACTCACATTGATGCCGTCCCAGGAGAAATCTGTTCGTGTTTGCTGTAGGAGAGAGGAGAAGGGATGGTATCGGGGCACCTCTAGGAGTGCAAATAATCCTGCTTTTCTCTGAGGGACTTCCAGATATAGACAGAGAGACAGACCCTCCTGAGGCTGAGAAAGATCTCAGTGTGGAGCATTTGGTGTGTGTTTTGGGGAAGCAGGGAGATATGGTGTTTCCATCTAAAGGAGTCTTTGGGATGCTGTCATAGAATTAATAAAGAGAATCTCCCCTTTGGGCTTTCTGGAATGATGAAATGGGCCAAGCAGCCAGGAACTTGAGGGGAGGTCGTTGTAGCTGGTGGGCTTCTGAGGTACCCGTCCTTACCTCTGTGGATGGTCGATGGAGGCTGCTACCATGCAGTGAGCTGGTGCTGTCCATGTTGATCTGATCGACATCTTTGAGGCCTTTCCAGTCCACTGCAATCACCTCATTCCCTGAAGGGGGGGTGTTAGAAGGTCAGTTGCTCACCCTCGTTCCCCTGCTTGCTCCCTTCCCATAAAAGCCAAAGGCCACACCCTAGGGTCAAGCCCTTCCACCCCATCCCCCAATGCCATGCCTTCTGACTACCTATTTCTTTCTATTTCTTTATCGTCCCCAAATTTTTGGAAGGAGAAATAATAAGTGAAACAAAACACTGATTTTCAGCTCAATGGGGAATAGCATAGTTAGGGAAAAAATGCTTGGGTTGAATCAGGCAAACATTCTCCAGTCTGTGCTGAGGAATCTTTGAGATAGTCTTTATTGGATCCAGATTTCTCACCAATTACTGTCCTAAAAACAAGGACACAGCTTTCCAGGGGAAGCTACACTACTCTGCAGCTGGCTTTGATATTTGAGGGATGAGAGGAATGTGGCTTCCCCCTTGGGCCTTCCTACTAGTCAGGGAACTTGGTTGACAGGAAAAAATATGGTGGGGACAGAGGCAGGTGGTAGATAAAAATTTGAGACTGTTTCCCCTGGAGCTAGAGGACTCCAAGAATTGGCTTTGAGCCCAATTCTCTCAGGGGACAGGAAATGGATTCAAAAGGAGAGACCAAGATAGGAGCAGGCAACAAGAGGACTTTATGATTTCAAAGTTAAAAGAACAGAAATTCAAGGTGAGGAGACAGGAAAAAATGTGAGGAGGAGGACAAGACACTTTGGGAACTCGTGGAAAAGTAAGAAACCAAGAGGGAGACTCCTGACCTGAGTGCGGTGTGACACCTTCTGGAGGTCTTGGGGAAGAATCAATTGGGTGTTTACAGAGAGATTCAAGAATCAGGTGGCAGCCTGAGCCATTTGTCTAAAGCCATTGCATCCTTGAAATTTTGCCTTTTGAGTTTAGGATCATAGGTCCCTTCTCTGGAAAAAGTGCACTGGCTGGGTCTTGGCCATGAAGAGGTATCCAGTATGGTGAAAAGCAAATGGAATGGAGAGGACTGAGAAACAGGGCTCTCCATACTACCCAGGTTGTTCTGCTCTCTCTTGGGATCTTGTGAAATGAGATGGGTGAGACTAGGACCTGTGGCTAGGTCAGAGAGCAATGACATCTGGACCTAGCAGTAATGGGGCAGGCAGAGAAAGCTCTCTAGAGAAGAGTGGGAGCGAGGGGAGGAGCGGGGAGGTGGCCTTTGAGGAAGAGGGGGAGCTGAGTCAGAGTCTTAGGGGGTAGGGAGATGGAGGGAAGGAGAACAGGAAAGGAGGTGAAAGCAGAGGAGGGTCTCCATGGAAATAAACTGGGTCTCAGAAACCAGGCTTCCTGAGATTGAGTTTGTTTGCAATAATAATACGAATTATTTTCTCAGCCTGAGGTCACTAGGGCGTGTAGGCGGGAGAAATTGGGAGTTAGGAAGGGGAAAATTGGGGGGTTTGGGAGAGAACTGTACTAATGTGTTCAGCTCTGAAGTGGAATGGATGCGTGGGGTGAGGGTATGGAGGGCGGTAGCAAGGCAGAGGCTAGAGAGAGAGGACCTTTAAGGAAGCGCCTTTCTTCCCTGTCAAAGGTAAATAAAGATCCGGCCCAGCCCCGCCTGCCCCCGCTGACAGGTGCAGGCGGGTCCCAGGGTTCCCAGGCGGACCCCACCCTTCTGGAAAGCTGACTCCCCCGACCTCTCTTGGGGTAGTAAACCTCCACCACCTCCCCGAGCCACGACTCTTCCGGAGCACCCCGGCTCAAGCCCATTCTCTCCGGGCGTGGAACCCGTTCTCTCCCGGTGGCACTAGCTCTTCCCGCCCCCGCCCCAAAGGGAAAATGCACGTGAACAAAGCAAATCGGGGGAGGCAAGCGCGACGGAAAAAGGCTACCAAGAGAGAAATGGTTGGGGGCAAAACACACAAGCCATATGGAAAGGAGGGTGAGGATAGGAGGAGGCTTGCGGAAGAAAGTCGGGGCTGAGGCTGGGGAGGAGGTTCTGAGAAGAGGGGCTATTCCAGAAAGAGGGGCGCGAGGAGGCGCTGGCCACAGCGGAGTAGACGCGGATGGCCTGGAGGTGGAGGGATGGGGCCACCGGGAGTAGGGAACAGCGACGGAGCAGTGAAGGAAGCTGGTGGAGAGGCTACCAGGGAAGGACCGCGCCTGCGGGAGGGCGATGGAGAGAGGCTATGTCTGAGCCAAGAGGGATGGAAGCCCTGGAGGCGCGAGGGCAGAGGGATGCAGGGACCGACCAGAGCGGATGGAGGGAAAGTGAAGGCGCGAGGCAGGGCCGGGCGGGCGCGGAGGGAGGTCTCCAGGGGCGAGGATGGGAATGGGGGAGGGGGCCGGAGGAGCGCCCCGGGGCGAGCTTGCCCCTGACCCGCGCCCGGCCGCGGTACCCACCCACAGTCCGCGAGCCGATGCAGCCCATGGCTCCAGGGGCCGCCGGGGCCCGGCCCTCACCGACTCGGGGTGCGTGCCGGGGGGAGCACCGGGAGCCGCGCCGCCGCCCCAGCCGCTCTGCAGCGCCGCGGCTGTCTCCGCTCGGCTCCGCTCCCCCCTCCCCTTTCCATCCCTCCCCACGGCAGCCTCCGTCGCCGCCGCTGCCGCCGCCGCCACCGCCTGGCTCCCCCGCCCCGCTCTGCTCTCGGCGGCCGGGGAGGGGGCTGCTCGGGGATTGGCTGCGCGCGGCACCTCCCCGCCCTGCTCCCGACCGGGCGCCGCGCTCCCCGCGCCCCTCGCCGCGCTGCAGCCGCGTCCCTCCGCCTGTCCTTCGCAGCCCCCGCCCCCGGGCTCCTCGCCCATCCCCGCTGGGTGCTCCAGAAAGATGCTGATGACGAGTGGATAATAGCCGGAGTGGGTCGCAGGAGACGGGTCAGGAAACCAGGGCCCACCCTTAGGCTCTGCTTGATGGACTTTTGAGGGCTGCGGGGTGAGAAGGACGAGAGAGAAAGTGGGGCGGAGAAGAGAGGACACCCTGCTGAATGGCCTTGGATACCAAATTCCGCAAACGTTTGTTTTCTTCCTGAGGCTGCATCTGGGATGCACGAATCGGGATTGGATGCTGTTCTGGTTGCCCTGCGTTTCACGTGCGTTGCTTTGCCCACCCAAACAGATCATGAAGTCTTTGCCTGTGGATGTTGCCAGATGCTTCCCTGTCCTCTAGCTGTTCTGGGATGGGTGTGGGGCTGATGCAAATAATCTGGCTCTAGGCCTGGTGCGGATGGGAGGAGAATGGGAATAATTCTATTGCAGCTAAAGGGAAATGAATATATCAGGACCCGAAACCGGCATCAAGACATGGTTTTAAATCAGATTTAACTTTTCTGAGCCTTGTGTGGATGTCCGGAAGCAGCAAAGGGAGAATACTGCCCCCTGCCGAGAAGGGTCAGCACTACATCAAGGGCCCTATGGGAAAAGAGAGGGAGATCTGAGTTGCGGGAATCAAAAGGGGGGGGGGCACTGTTATCACAATTGGCAAGATAGAAGACACACTAAAAAGGACAAATAGACCCTTTCGTCTTAGCCGAACCAGTAAACGCAAACTGTGAGCAAGCAGGCCTGAGTAGTACCACTGAAGAGAAGCAGACACTTCAGGGTCAGCTTGCTCTCCAAAGTTTGTTTGTTTGTTTGTTTGTTTGTTTGTTTGTTTTTAACCTTCCTGGGGCTAGAAAGGGAGAGGAAAATGGAGCAGGGGCCTTTGGGGTTTGAAGCAGAGTGAAAGAACATGTCTTAGATATGTAAATTTGTGACATCTAGGTTATGATTGAGGAGTTACATCCCGTTGAAATCCCCAGTGAAGATGTGGGAGAAGATACTTTTGTTCTTTTTCTGGCGCCATAGCGAAATACCTGAGACCAAGAAGTTTATAAAGAATAGAATTTTTTTTTTTTTTTTTTTTTGAGGCTGGGAGAGCCAAGAGCCTGGTGTTAGCAAGTGCTCCAAGTGTGGTAAGGGCCTTGATGTATTTTAATACTCAAAACATCGTATGGTGAGACAGGATGTATAAGTTAGCTTCAGTCTCTTTCTCTCATAAAGCTGCTAATGCCAACCAACCCCTATGAACTTCTCTAATCCTTACGATTGCTCTAAAACCCTGCCTCCAAGTAACCATTAACATATGAATTCAAGGATTAAGTCCAAGTCATGGATTTGAAGGGCCACTTGCAAACTCTACCTCAGGTACTGACACTAACTGAAGGTCTAGGGGTTGGACTTAGAACAGATCTGGGATTCTGGCCAGCTGCCTTCTGGTCCCTGCAAAGACAGTTACTTCTCCCCACTTCTCACAGAATGAGCATTCTCTTCCATTCCCTGACTCTTTTGAGCCAAGGCTTAAAAGTTCCAGTTCTCAGAACCAAAACAAGCTTCCTGGAAGACAATATGATAGTACTGATCTTACATATAAAAATACTTAAAATTGCATCTGCTTTTAGACTTAACACAAGCGATTTATGGAGCCAGGTGGAAAGACTGAAAGTTCAGTCATGGCTGAGCTACCCAGAGTGGTCAAGGCCAGCATGGCTCACTTTGTGAGACTTTTATCTCAAATCAAAATTTTACCAAAAAAACCTGTCTGGGTGAGCACTTGCTTAGAATATGCAAAGCCCTAAATTCAATTCCCAGGAACACAGGCAGTCCTAGTGTGCTGTCTGTCGCTGTGATGAACACCGTGACTGAAAGCAACTTGGAAAGGAAAGAATTATTTTATCTTACAGCTTATAGTCCATCATCCAGGAAAGTTAGGGCAGGAGCTCAAGGCAAGCACATCCAGGCATGAACTGCAGCAAAGGCCACGGAAGAATGCTGCTCATTGGCTTGCCCCTCACAGCTTGCTCAGTGTGCTTTCTTAAATAACCCAGTGTGACCTGCCTACCCCGAGATAGCACCTCCCACAGAGGGCTGGGTCCCAGAGACTTGCCGATCTGTGGGAGGCATCCTCTCAGTTAAGGTTCCCTCTTCTCAGCTAGATGACTCTAGCTTCTGCCAAGTTGACAAAAAAATTAACTGGTACTCAAATCACACACTCCTTAAATCATTAATATTTGTATTTTTATTGTTGTAAATTATTTTACAATTATTCTTTTGACACAAATATTCTAAGAAAATAAACATACAATGTGGACAAAAATTTAGCCTGCATCACTTACAGCACAAGTTACATTATGCCTGAGACTAACTAGTTAAATCATCGAACGTATCTATAATAAAATACTATGTGACTGTTAATAATGTTACATTAGTTGACATGAAAAAGCATTCATAATAGATTTTAATTATCATTAAAAAGCAGGCTGTAATGTAAAATTATCAGTTTTTAGTTTTTGTTTAAAACAATACATATCCTTCCTGCCTTCCATCTTTTTATCTAAGTAATTGATGGAATTTCCTGAGGAATGCTCATGTTAAATATTGTTACAAAACTTCAACCCAACCAGAACTCACAGTTTGACCCTCAACCAAATTCTAACATTAATTAGCTCATTTCCAAAGTCTTAAAATACAACACTCTGGCAGAGTCCCCATGTGGCACTTCCTAACTAGTTCCCTTTGGAACAGAATCCCAAGGTGAAACCGTGTTTTCCCTTCTCTTGTTGTTCTCAGTACATGCCTGTGGCCCCTTGGGTTACCTCTTGGACAGAAGGACACAGTCAAGTTTAGTGACAGCACTGTGAATTATGCAGATTCTTGTCCTAGGATCCATGGACAGAATACAAAATCCATAACTTTGTATGGGGAAAAAAAAAACAATATCTATAATCATTGGCAGGTAACTGAAGTTCTCCATTTACTTGAGCTGCACATATAGGCAGAAAGCCATTATACTATTACAGGAAGTGTGTCTTCATCACCAGTCAAAATCGCAGGTGCTTATAATACAAAACAGCCATTGGAAATATTTTCCTATGTATTCTTCATATTCACCACTCCTTTGAAATCATTGAAAACAGTCAAAACTTCATCTGATTTTTATACTTTATATTTAATGATTTTATTGAGAAGCAAAAAGTTCGGTGTATAACTCAGCAATAGAGCACTTGCCTGGCATGCATGAAGCCCTGGGTCTTTGTTTTGTTCAGCCAATGAGAGTTTTGTGTACATGTATATTATAATGTAAGTACATTTAGTTCCCATTCCCTGTTACTACCCCTCTCCCTTTAAATCCCTTCTTCCCCCTAGAACCCCAGTGGCTATACCATTGAAGAAAATGATATCTGGCACCGAATCTGGTAACAATTATCAGTCAACAGCTCCTTAGAAGGGGCCTGCAGGTACCGCCCCTAACTGTGATTGGCTGCTGAAGGGCCAGTCTTTTTATAGTTCATAACTGCTGTGTGTTCATGATTCCAGCAGCCATGGAAGGCAGCATTTCATAAAATGCCTCATCCTCCAGCTCTTGAATTCTCCATGGCTATTCTTTTCCATTATTTGATGCTGGATATGGCAGCAAAGGCCTGTAATCCCATCTCACTGGAAGATAAATACAAGAGGGTGCAGAATTCAAGGTTAGTTTTGCTATATGGCAAGTTCAAGGTTATCTGTGCTACATGAAGCTCTATCTAAAAATAAATAAATATAAAAAGCATCTATATTACTATATTAAGGACCCAGGGAATTAAAAAGATATTTGAAGCCTTCTGAATTCTAATTATATACATAGTGGAGGATTCTCTTATTCTTTGGGATTCAATCTGATTAAAGTCACAAATGCAATAACCAGGTGATACACAAAGATTTTCTGGAGATTGGTGGTGTGTGCTTCCTTTCCCTGGGAGTTCTCTCAGAGGGTACTTTAGCTGAGAGGATAAAGAGTTCCCACCATACACACTCTCCCTGCCCCTGTTCCACTGCACAACCCTGTGGGATTTCTCAACAAAGAGAAATCCTCAAAGCCCTTCATCTTGAATATCTGTGTCTTTCATTTCAATGGGAGACATCCGGTTAAATTAAAGAGCTAAGAAAATCCCAGCTGAGAAGGAGACATTCAAAGTCCAAGAACAGGCAAGACTAGTTACCTGAGCAGGTAAGGAGGTGGGTGGAGGCTCACACAGAGGGTACCTTCATGGCTCTCCATCCCAGCAAAGGGGAGAGTAGGCTAATGCTAGCAGGTCACATGGCTTTAGCTTTAATAAGATGAGGGAGTCCATCTGATGGCATCTCTTTCTGAGAAGGAGAAGACAAGGTCACTCATATACTGAGTCAGGGCATGGGGGTGATAGAGGGAGAAGATAATATGCAAATATCACTTTGCATCTGGGAAAGATTTTTTTCTGTGTATATTTGCAGAAGCCGTAATAGGAAGACATGGTAGCCTTACAGCTGAGACCCTTGTGTATATGTGTCCTTATTTGTGTGTGTCCATGAGCATGTCTGCAGAGGGCAGGAGTCAATGCTGGACATCTTCCACTAGTACTGTCCACCTTATCTTTTCTTTATTGTTTGTTTTGTTTTATGTGGATGAGTGTTTTGCCTGTGTGCACTTTGCTTACCTGGTACCCGCAGGGGCCAGAAGAGGGTGTCAGATCCCCTGGAAGTGAGTTACACATAGTCAGTGAGCCACCTGAAATCATGTGGCTACCGGGAATTGAACCACAGTCTTCTGGAAGAGCAGCCAGTGCTCTTAACCACTGAACCATCTCTCCTGCTCCTCAACCTTGTCTTTTGAGACAAAATCTCTCAATGAAGTAGGTGCTCATAGATTAGACATAATGGCCAGAGAGTTCTGGAGAAACAACTGCCTCCATCTGCCTCACAATTCTCCCCACCGGGCTAGAGTTATAAATGAACACCACTGCACTCAGATTTTATGTGGGAGCTAGTGGTGTAAACTGAGGTCTTCACATTTGCACAGCAGGTTCTTTACTCCTCAAGCTATCTTCCCAAACCAACTGACTTTCTTGTCTCCATGATGATGCAGCTAGAAGACAAAAAGCCAGAGGTTACACACTCCTCTTAGATGAAAATACATCCCAGTAGTGTAGGAAAGAGATTTGGTTATGTTTCTTCCTTTGCTTTTAAAGAGTTAAATGTGCATGCTGTATTTAGGAATGTACATGTATACTTATACATATGTGCATGGAACAACAATTAATGAAAAAGGTCATGATTTTGAAAGAGCACAAGAATAGGTATATGGGATGGCTTGGAGGAAGGAAAGGGAAGGAAGAAAAGATGGAATTACATTGTACTCTCAAAAAGAAAAGAATTTAAATAAAGAGAATATAGCAGTGTATAGGGAGGTGGTGAGGATCTGGTGAGGGGGATTCGGGGAAAAAACATGATAAAACATATTGTATAGAGGACTTTTTTTCCAATTAAAATAAATAAAAACAATATTACTCAGTTAAGGAAATTTTAGTTGATAAGCATTCTTTCACTCCCAACTTTCTTTAATTAAGGTGAGCTCATAAGCTAAGAAGGGATGCATCTACTTAACATTCCAAATTTCGGAAATAGAAAAGCAATCACTTTTCCTTAGGAAGGCCTGTAGCAAGAGGTCTCAGGTGCTGTCATATGGTACTCATGACTCACATTCCACTTAACATCTATGAAAAGAGTTCGTATCTTGAGTTATAAAGACAGAGGTCCAGAAAATCCCCTTGCTGAGTCAGCTTTAGGGCAACTCATAGCTAGATGTTCATAGGAGTGCTGCTCACTTAAGGGACCAGGAATGGGAATGATGACATGGGAAAACCGTGTCTGAGCGGAAATTATAGAGACTGAGAGCTAGCAATAACAATATATTTACTATATCTGAGTTTCTGTCCTTTTATGGGGGAGGGAGCGATACATGGTCTCTCACTACAGCCCAGGATGACTTGAAATTTACCATGCAGTTGAGGCTGGCCTTGGGGCTATGGTAATCCTCCTTAATTCTAGTGTGTGGAGCTCTCCTTCCCACACTCCCACTCCCAGCTCAGTGCTTGGGACAGTCACTAGGTGAGCACAGCCTCTATGCTGGTGGAAGGCCCTACACAGGGCAAGACAAGTCCACTGAGGCAAGAAGGATAGCTCCAAGCAGTTAGCTCTATTAAACAGCCTGAGCCACAGCAGATACTATCTGCCTTCTGTGAGGAGTAGAGACAGAAAGGCCTAGGCTGACCAATCTCAGATCTGCAAGACAGTGAGGAAGATAGAACTCTGCAGGCCAACACAGTTGGCTAATTTTTTGCAGTCTGACACATTTGTGAATTTTGCCTCTCTAAGCTAGGCTCATCTGCATGGATCTTCAGATAAGGAAGCTTTTAGGCATGGCTCAGGGTGGTGAGCATTCCTCTTTGGTGCTGTTCCCAGCCACGAATCTCCTATGTGTGAAAGTCTCCCTCATGGATGTGGTTAATCTTTACTGTCAGCTTGACTAGATTTAAAACAGAATAGAAGACATGTTTCTGGGCATGCCTCGGAGGGTGTTTCCAGAGATGGTTAACTGAATAGAGAAGATGCACCCTGGCTGTGAGAGGTATCATCCCGTGGACTGGATGAAAAGGAGGAAGCAAACTGATCACCAGCATCCATCATTCTCCGCTCCCTGGCAAGTGTAACCAGCTGCCTCAAACTTCTCTAGTCGTGACCTCCTTGCCATGATGGACTGTTCACACTCAAACAGGGAGCCTTCCTTTAATTGTGTCTTCAGGTATTTTTGTCTCAGCTAAGAGAAAAGTAGTAGGTACCGTGGGCAAGCCAGCATCACCAGCCCACACAGCATGGGATCCTGGGATCCTGGGATCCTGGGATCCTGGGATCCTGTCCAGCACAAACAGATACTTCCAAGAGATGCTCACAAGAGCTATGCTTCAGATCATCCACGGGATGGATTTACCTGTTTGTTGGTTTGTTTAAACAGATCTGAGTCAAAGCACAGCAGAGAATTACTTCTGATTTGAAGGTTCCATCTGCTCCAGCTTGGATATAGTTTGTCCCTCAAAGACTCATGTGCTGAAGTTTCCTTCCTACTATAACAGAATTGAGAGATGGTGGATCTTTTAAAGGGTGGAGCATAGTGGGAGGAATATAGATCATTGAGAGTACTGTCCTAGGGATAGATTAGTGCCCTTCTAGCAGGAGAGCAAGCTAGGCCTCTCAGGACTGGGCTCAGTACTATAAGAGTGGGTGCTGAGAAAGTTTAGCACTCATTTAAGGCCTCCCCCTTTCCCATTTGTAGCTACACATGAAATTTTGCTATGTAATGTTATGTACCAGTTGTACTTAGCATAAGGCAGTTACTCAAAATTTGTACATATTTACCTTCAAAGCCAGAAGCAAAAAAAGAAGAACATTTTACTTGTACAGTACCCAGCATCAGTGATAGGACTAAAAGTGGACTAAGACACTATCTAAATGCCCTGATGAGTAATGCCAGTTCAAAGTCTCTGGGAAGAGTAGAACACAGTTTCTCTCTTCAAGGGTCTAGTGCTCTCTTGATGCTTCCAGGTCACAAGCTGTCGCAGACCAGGTAGGATGCTAGGAAGCTACAAAGCAGGCCCTAGCAGTTAGGCAACCAGAAGTCAGAGGTGAGGAATTAGTAAATATCAGAGAACAAGACCAGATGGGATTTTCTGAAGTCAAAGAACCAGTTAACTATCATAACCCCAAGAGCTGTGAAGAAAGAGAAGAAACTTGTCTGTAGCGCAGAGACTTACATAGCCACTTACTCTAGCCTCAGTGACCCTCCTGACAATTTCATACCCCATCTTTCAGGAAGGACAAACAGATACTAGAACTAGAAAGCAGGCTTCTCACCATAGCAGATTCAGTTCGTATGCATTTGGAGAAAGGAGCAACTAACACACTATTATGCTCCGTAGTCTTGCTACCTCCCCTGGGGCACCCTTGTGGCCTTATCTTTATGCGAGTCTCAGAAAAGACCCCTGTGTTGTAATTGGTGATTAATATTTACTATTGATATATCTTCTGGTAAAGCTTGCTGTTAATCCTAAACAGATATATAACCAAATCACCACACAGAGACTATGATTTATTTAATTAACCTAGAACACAATGCTGGGCAATAGTTACTCCTTCTTAAACCTCCAAGCCCTCATAGTTTCCTAACATTTAGATTTCCCACATTATACTTACTTTTAGTGAAATCTTAGATCCAACCCATCTCTCCAAGGCATTCCAAGATCTCTCCTCCAGCTCTATTCTCCCAGCTTTCCTCACCCTTTCTCCTAACACTCATTTCCTGCCCTCTGGCTCCTGCCCTCTTTCCTGTCCTCTGGGTCCTCCCATTGGTCAACATTGTGGCTAGTTGCTTTATTTTAGCCTATTTACACAAAGTTGAGACAGGATGCTTAGAATAAGTATCACAATGCAATATCTGGATTGAAACGGGGGCGGGGATAAATCAGCATTTGAATGTATGGTACATTTAAAGATAAGGTACATACATTTCAAAAGAACATTATACCAACACCCTTGGGCCCAGATTCTTTGGTTCTGTAGCTCTTCTTGTGGAGCTCCTGTCTTCTCTAGGTGTTTCTATCTCCCCCTTCTTTCATTAGATTGCCTGCACTCTGCCCAAAGTCTGGCTATGAGTCTCAGCATCTGCTTTGATACACTGCTGAGTAGAGTCTTCAGAGGCCCTCTGTGGTAGGCTCCTGTCCTGTTCCGTTTTCTCCCTCTTCCAATGTCCATCCCATTTGCCTTTCTGAATGAGGATTGAGCATCTTACCCAAGGTCCTCCTTCTTAATTAGATTATTTAGGTGTACAGATTTTAGTATGATTATCCTATATTATGTCTAATACCTACTTATAAGTGAGTATAAGTGAGTGTCTTTCTGCTTCTGGGATACCTCACTCAGGATGATCTTTTCTAGTCCCCACCATTTGCCTGCAAATTTCATGATTTCCTTGCTGAGTAGTATCCTATTGTGTAAATGTACCACAATTTCTGAATCTAGGTCCTCTCATTCTTAGGCTCCCATTCTTTTCCCTAGCTTATGTTTCCTTAGTGGTTCTGTTAGATTGCTTTTCCACAAATTTTTTTTTTGAGGCAGGGTTTCTCTGGATAGCCCTGGCTATCCTGGAACTATGTAGACCAGGCTGGTCTTGAATTTAGAGATCCACCTGCCTCTGCCTCCTGAGTGCTAGGATTAAAGCTGTGCACCACCACTCCTGGCTTATGATTTTTTTTTAATTGTAACATTAAACACTGTTGAAATAAAACCAGGCTTTATTTTCCTTTTCTATGAGTTTAAAACAATATTTTGAGGCAGGGTATATATAGATATACACATATACGTGATGTTGATATCATATACATAGTTACCTAAGACTTCCAGAGAACTAATTGTTCTTCTGTTCTGTGTGTCTAAGAATGGGTGTGTAGTGTCAGGAGAGGTCATTGTTTAGTTAAGGTTTTGTCGTAATAAGCTGATAGAATAGTCTTTGCTCTCTGGGGTGGAGGACCACCTGCAGGCTGTTCACTGAATGAGTCAGTTATGATTGTTCTGCCTGTTCGTAGCTCCACCCAGATGAGAGGCTGAAATTCAGTTTCAAGGAATGTGTGCTTTGCTCTAACTTAAGGAAAAGTTCTACAAACAATATGCATCCACTGTAGAAAAAATGTATATACAGGCTAGCAAAACGGAAGTTCATCATTACTCTCTATATCTTGTACTATTAGCATTTTATATATTTTTCAAACGTGTGTGTGTGTGTGTGTGTGTGTGGTGTGTGTATGTGTGCACGCTATTGGTAGTAAGCGTTGACTGCTAAAAGATTATTCTGATTTTTAATGTGTATGCCTGTGTGTCTGTGTATGCACATCTGAGTGTAAGTCCCTTTTGTACGCCAGAAGAGGGTGTCAGATTCCCTGGAACTGGAGATGAGGTGGGTGATTGTAAGCTGCCCTATATGGGTGCTGGAAACAGACCTCAGGTCCTGGTCAAAAGTAGTATTTACTCCCAGTCATTGAACCACCTCTCCAGTACTACCTTAGATTTTTTTTTTTTTTACATTTATTTCTTTTGTGCAATGTGGGCATATGACACAGCGTACATGTGGAGGTCAGAGCACAACCTCAGAAGTGTTCCTCTCTTTCCACCACCTGGGTCCTGTGGTCAGATGCAGGTCAGCGGGTCTGCACAGCTGCACCTGCTGAGCCATCTTGCCAGCCAAGGTTGACCCCTCTTCCTGAAGGTGGAAAATGGTAGGAGCAGAGAGTGAGGACACCTTCCTATTCTAAGGTGGGGGCTGCACTGTGTCAGTCTTGCCATATCTCTCTAGTTTCCTTCACAGTCATGTCGCTTCAAAAGCCACGTACACTTCTTGTCTTCTCCTTTTTCTCACCACCGTTCAGTCCTCAGCCCACCTTGTCTACACCTTCACTCTCCTGAAGCCGCTCACGAGCAGTCTATGTGAGTAGATTCTGTTCATCTCAACCCTGCTTTGTGCATGCACCAGGAACATTTCATACAATTGGCTACTTCCTAACAGTTTCCATTTTCCTGGCTTGCCCTTTTTCTTTTTTGCTACTTCTTAATTCCAAGTTACAAGTATTTACAGGGCACCTACCATTTTACAGTACTGCTCCAGCTACTGGATGCCAAAATAAATGCTATTGTGGGGTTTATAGTCAAGTCAAAAGTAGTGGGGGAAGAGACCACAATAAGACAACAACAAAAACAAAGCAACTAGACTGGGTGTGGTCTTGCATGTCTTTTATCCTTGCACTGGGTAGGCAGAGGCAGGCAAATTTCTCTGAACCTGAGGTCTACATAGTGAGTTCCAGGCCAGCCAAGACAACATTACACAGTGAGACCATACCTCAAAAACAAAACAAAACCCACTAAATTGTATGTATATTTGTACATATAATATATAAATTAATATTAAAGCAAAAAGCTGGATTATATATTAAAGATGATGGATACTTTGAAGTAAAAATAAAGGTAAGATGGAAAATACATAGATTTAGTAAGCATAGTTCTGAACAGGGTGGTCAGGAAAGGAAATAGTGTTGCTCAGTATAATTCCAAACAGGGTAGTCATGAAGAAGTTCACCAGAAAGACAGCTTTTGAGATAGTAAATGATACAGTAGTAGGCTGTATAGATCTGCGGTTCAAACATAAAATAACCTGCTGCCACAGTGGTTCTCAACATGGGGTCATGGCCCCTTTGTTGGCGGAATGACCCAGAAACACAGATATTTACATTACAATTGATAAGTATACCAAAATTACAGTTATGGTGTAGCAGTAAACATGCTTGTATCATTGGGTGTCAAGCACAACATGAGGAACTGTATTAAAGGGTCACAGCATTAGGAAGGTTGAGAACTGCTGCCCTACAGTCTTATGTATTTAATCCTTAGCTTGTGGTATCTTTGGAAAGTTGTGAAACCTTTAGGAGGTGGAATCCTCCTGGAGAAAAATGGGTCTGGGTTGCAGTAGAAGGGCCTGAAAGTCTATATCCTAGCCTTCATCTACTGCATGTTCTCTCTGCTTCCTGGCTACACAAACGGCTGTTGATCAATGCTCAGCTACTCCAGACAGATCATTCTGCCATCCCTTCCCAATCATTATGAACTCTAAGTCCTTTCATCATGAGTCAAAAATAAATTCTTCCCCCATTAAGTTGCTTCTGTCAGGTATCTGTTCATAGTAAAGCAAAAGTAACTGAGGCATAAAATTGGCACCAAGAATGGGCCCATGGCTGGGATGAGCCTAATCATATGGTTCATGCTAATTTGGACCCGGTTTGCAGGAGGAATGGGGAGAATTTAGAGCATCGGGTTACAGAAACCCTAGGATGCTGTAAGCAAAGCTTAGTAGGCCAGTCTGTGGGAGTTCAGAAAACCAGAGTGCTGATAAAAGTGTGGCTAGTAAACACTGTGCTTCTGAGGTTTCAGAGGGAAAACAAGGGCCATTTCAGGAGATGGGCTAGAAAAGAATCAATCTGGCTATGCTGTACATGTCACCTCAAGATTTTAGTGAAGTTTAATTAAAAAGTAGTAAACTAATTAATGCAGTGCAAGACAGTATAGCATCCAGGCTATGATATGGTCATTGCTCACTGGCCTTTGTTATGCAGATTGTCAGTGACAAGGACCAGAAAGTAGAGCAGAAATATGAGAAAAGTTTGTGGTTTGGTGTACAAAGGAAGTTTTAAGTTGGCATGAGGAAGTTTCAAGTTTCAGATAAAATTGGGGAGGGAAAGCAGCTACAGTTGTTAAGGATAGCGTTTAAAGAGGAACCAGGCATTTTGCAACATGGAAGAACCACCCAACCCATAGAAGGCTCCAGAGTATTAAACTGAAAACTAATTTGAGAAACATGCATTAAAAAGTACCAGGAAAGATAGAGCCTCCAAAGTAAAGACTATCTGTCTTCTGAGAGGGTCAGCGACAATACGTGCAGCCATTGTCAGAAGAGGACATTTTGAGCTGACAAGAGAGCTTGGTACCATGTAATTGGTGCTGGTTTTGAAGACAAGCAGGATGCAAGAATAACAGGAACAAGGAGGCTTGAGCCAAGGTTTTAGAACAAAAACAACAAAAGTCAATCAATGAAGCTAGAGAGTGTGCCACAGAGTCAAATTTCCTTCAGCAAGGCCCCAAGAGGTCAATGAGTGAAACTTTGAGGGTGAAGCGTAAGCTACAGTAGAGACTTCAAGATGTTGGAGATGGCAAGAATGTTGAAAACGTGCTGAGGAAAGCTGCTTGAACCGAGTGTAGCCGGTCCAAGGGAAAGCGCACATAATGCTGCAGGTGAAAGAGCCGTGGCGTGGGGCTGCCCATGCCTATTGTAGCGCGCATGGTGCTACCACGCAAACCCTGAGTGCCTTGCATAGAGACACAGGGTTTCATGATCGACCTACTGAGTTTCAGTCTTGCTTTGGTCCAACCCTTTCTGGCTATTTCCCCATTCCTTCCCCCTGGTCTGGAATGGGGATATTCGCTATTTGTCATTATAGATTGAAAATACCTAATTCTTCTTTTCAGTTTGTTAAGTCTGATTGGGACTTTGACTCTCAAAAAAGTATTTTTGAACTTTTGGCTTTTCTTTTTGCTACCCTAAATTGTTTGTTGGGTCTGAATTTTACAAACATTGTGTGCATTAGATGATAGAGCTGGAGAGTATTGCTTTTTCCAGTCAGTAAGGTGAAGGCCACCAATAATGCGGT